ATAGTAGAGAAGGGATGAATGAAGGCAATTAGCAAAAAAATTTGGGGCCTAGAATTAGCGATCTTCAATCTCCTACCAATCAGCAGATTGACCAGCAATGACTTGCTAAGTAGGTGAAAAAATCATCTATAGTCTAGGCGATTTAATTGCCACATAGTGCCATATTGTTACTTAGCTACTAATGATGGCTTGGTTTAGAACTTTATTGAGCCCTTTACAACCACGAACAAAGCATTCCTAGAGAAAAAGAATTCAATTTCTATAATGATTAAGGCCAGCATTGATAGAAGGTCATTTAGATATTAAATTAGAGCAGTCTAATTAAAATTTTTTCCTACTCTATCCATTTTCTATAACAATATACCAAAAAACTGTATTAGACTAGGGTGAACCTAGTAATGCCAATTTTAATTACGGTAAGCAGGAAGTCATGATTAGTGTTGGTCTTTCATGACATTAATGAATCGTCGATAATACTGATTACTGCTTTAGATTCTCTATCCTGACTCCTTGAATTTACCATCTTGATATCGCTTATGTCAAGCAGAAAATAGTCATCCATCTCCTTCTTGATGATTATCAGATAAAAAACAGGTTAGTTTTTGCAACTTGAAAAATAGATTGTTTCAATCAATAACAATAAACTGTAAATGGATGGTGTGGAATGATTCGGTGCTATCCTTAGACATACGCGTAAACTCGAATACGACTACTGTTTTGAAAATGAATGTAAGGGTAATCTCTGCTAAATTTTAATTAACTGTGTTTTATCTTGACGATGAGACCCATTAAGGCATTGAAATTATATGTTAAAATTATTTTATGAACTATCGCTCCCCCTATTTCTTCTTCTCCTTTTCCTGCCCTAAACTTGAGTAAAGCAAAATGGTTTAAAAAGACACAACCATGAGATAGAAATGATTGTATTTTAATGGTAACAGGATCAAATAAAGTAACATCTATATTATTCTTAGAAAATGTCATTTTTACACGTAGGATATTGTGTTAAAAATAAGGTGGAAATCAAAGCAAAACAGTTGCTATTAGAATTATTTACGGAAAAAACTCTATTAGAGTGAATAGATTGAAAACCCAAGGGCGACGGTATACTAACACTCTTGTCTTAATGAAAGTAAAGTAGCTACTACTAGAATCATTTTCAAAAAACTGTGAATAGATAGATTGAAAACTTAAGGGCAATGCTATACAAGCACTCTTATTAGAAATCACCACGCCAAAAAATGAAAGGATAGTGATATTATCAACGGAAAAAGTCATAAAACGATTAATTTTATAATAAATCAAAGTTTTAAACTAAAAGCTAAATTATGTAATTATCGGAATAGTTGTGAACTATGAAAGAATATCGATAATGCAATTAAAAAATAAATTTTCAATCCTGATTTAATTGCGTTGCTGTTGACTCTATTTTCATATTCCTTTTTAAATTCAATTTTAAACTAAAACCAGTAAATTACAGCAATGTATGGCAATAGCTTGAAGGAATCAGATGATGTAGATTAAGATAAATTTTCAATCCTGATTTAATCAAGGTACTGTTGATTCCACGATCCAATTCCTTTTAAAATTCATTTTTTAAACTAGAATAAAATCGATAAATTTTGGCAATGTATCGCAATAGTTTGAAGGAATCGCATAATGTAATCTAAGATTATTTTTTTTCAATCCCGATTTAATTACGCTACTGTCGATACTGCGATCCAATTCCTTTTAATTGGAATTTTTGATTTGAAGTAAAACCAGTAAACTATTGCAATCGATCGTAATAGTTTGAAAGAATCGTCATAATGTAGATTAATATTAGTTTTCAATCCTGATTCAATTACAGTATTGTTGATTCTATGATCCAATTCCTTTTTAAATTTAATTTTAGAACTGAAATAAAACCAGTAAACTGTCGTAATACTTTGAAAAATTGTCATAATGTAATTTAAAAATAATTTTTAATCCTGATTTAATTGCGGTACTGTTGATTCTACCATCCAATGCCTTTCTAAATTAAATTTTGAAACTGTAACAAAACCAATAAACTATCGCGTAATTTAAAAGATGAAACAATTACAATAATGTAATTTAAAATTAGTTGTCCATCGTGATTCAATAGGGGTTACTATTAGGTCGATGGAACAATTTTATGTCAATAAAAATGAATCATTTCAATTAGTTCCGGTTGAACTGGGAATACCTTTCAAAACAATTGATTCGGTTACAAGTATCATTTGTGGGCATAGCTTTTATCACCGAATTGACCTTATTTGCCCTATTAGCAACTCTTTGGAACCTTTTAAATAATTTAAATTGGTAAACAAGGCCATATTCTATAATCAAAACCATAACTTTACTCTATCATCAATTCATTAGACCAATCTTCTATTTAGTCTTTCCAAAGGAAATATCTTCATATTACCCTTGTCATTCATTATGTATATGAAGAATAAATAACTTTGCAAGCACAATGAACGAGATGATGAAGAGTCATAACTTTATTCTATCGTCAATCAACCTGACAAACTTTCCATTTAGTCTTTGGAAGGAAAACTTGCTCAGTTTACTCTTGTAATTGTTGACATGAAAAATACCTTAACAACCAACATTAACTATGCCATCATAATGGCACAATTGTTCAGGCTTGATTTTATAAGATTTGTGGAAAACAAAGAATGCTCATCATGTCGAAATAGGCAGAAAAAATCTAGGCCGTTAAACTTTACTAATGGTCAACGTATATTTTTGAGGGAGAAATAGAGTAGAAAAAAATAGAAGAATATTTATTAGAAGGAATCACATATTAGATGATCAATAGGTAGAATAAAATAGTCCTTTCTTCGCTTTCAAAACGTTATAGCATAGCTCGGAGCGATCAATAAGGAGTGTTCTAGAAATGCCTATCTACTCCATATTTCAAGATTTTTGCTATTAATCTATTTAAGATCAGAGATAGAGTTTGCACTTTGCCATATAAAGCACGAAGAATTCAATATTTACCCCAGATATTCACGAGTTCAAGAATTCAATATTTACCCCAGATATTCACGAGTTCAAGGATAAATAGAAAGAATAAAGTTTTCTTTTATTGTTTTTAAGATGTTATACCGTGGAAGGCTAATGACTGTTAGGAATGGAACTACTATATTTAACATGGCGAATCCCCTTCATTTTAGCACATTTTTCGTCCGTCTTGATTAAAATTACCTACTCTAGCTTAGAAGATAGGTTTAATGATACTGGATTAATCCATTAATCTTAAAACTACTGACAGATTTCACTGTTTTAAAGTTATTTATTTCCATCTGTTCTAGTACAAGAGCGAAAACAGTTATATGACCATTCATCACTTAATTTTAATACTGCTGACAGATTTACGCGTCTTAAAGTTGCTCACTTCTTCTAGTTCTAGTATAATATTCCAAACGCAGTTTACAAGACTATCTGTTACTTAATTTTAAGAGTACTGACAGACTTAGCTATCTGAAAGCTCTAATTAGCTGTCTTAAAGTTGTTCACTTCTTCTAGTTCTAGTATAATATGCCGAAGACTGTTCTAGGACCATCCGTCATTGCTTTAGAAAAGTACTAACAGAATTAGTTGTCTTAAAGTTATTATAGTTACAGTATAATACGTCGTAGAAAGTTAGTTCTTTTCGTCATGATATTGGTTCTATTACAACTGTAAGAGAATGGACAAAATTATGGCCACTAAATCTGTCCTTATTTTAATATAGCAACAAGTCAATGATAGATAATTATATAATCAGCCCTTCAATTATCTTTGACAAGATATCGGTAGCATTACTATAAATTAAGAGAAAATAGACCAATTGAAGACGGCTAAACCTGTCAATATTTTAATTTAGAAATAACTTTCATGACACGTAGTTGATTCTTAAACTCTCTTCTACATGTTAAGGATTTTATTATAACTTTAACATACAATCACTTTACTACTTACTCAATTTGAGTAATTGACTCCATTTTAAAATGTCGGATTGTGTATATATTCCTTTTCAATTGCTATTATACAATATTTGATGATCTAGGTACCAGACTAAAATCAATTCCACTAGAGGAATTTGATCTTAATATATCGAACTCATGAGTGATTGAGCTCCAGGCAATATCGAAATTTCTCTCGATAGCTATATTCGCATTATCTTAGCTAGAGCTAGTTATAGTTTTTGGCAGAGTTTCATATCCAAAAAGAATTTCTCTGCACTTCAATTCTGCATCTGCATTTATTTTCAGCTTCTAAGAGATTTTAACTTTTGCTTTAGTTATATAAAATTGATTTGAAAAGTATTTCGCTGATAATGACCCAACAACTTTATTAGGTCAATCTATAAATTGGTTTATCCCATCTATTTTGGTCCTTTCGCTCCTCTTCTTTGCCTCTATTCAATATCTCCTGTAAGTAACCGCAAAATTTCACTCTCTATATACTAGTTTATATTTGTTTTAGCATTCTACTGCACATTTTTACTTTGATGGCTGGAAGATCACTTGAAGATATTAATCTAGAATGATTCTTGGCATTTTCATTCTTTCATGATTAGAAAATTTGCTCAAAATAGATAAAATCTATTCTAAGGATTTGTAATTTCTGCTGCAGTCTTAAACTTATTCGCATAAGATTATTAGCCTCTAAGTGCTGTTGCTAGTTACCCGATCTTGTTATACAAAAATGAAAGAATCTGTAATTCATATTATAAATTGAAGTTATCAGTATAAGATTATAGTTATATTATAAGCCTTTAGCGCATCCAATGGCATTCGATCTAGTCGAGAAATACAAGATCAAGAATTTGCAATTTCTATTACAATGTCAATTTATTAGCATAATCTTATTCGCCTATAGCACTTTTAATAATTGATTAGCACAAAAATGATTGAAAAGCTGCAATCACTTTTATTGCCATCTGTCTAGTTAAGTAATAAGGAATCGATTCCATCCTTTCTCATTCCTATCTAGATAGAGTATCCAACATGAAGTTATTCTTTTCTTGCCAAAATTATCGTTTTGCATTAAATGTCAGCCAAACTGATACCGTGGGCTCGGTGATGGAACGATTACGTGAGAAAGCTTCCATCATATTCGATGATAGCAGCAATACACGATTAGTACCTTATTATGCCGGCTCGTATTTACAGAAAGAATGGCCGATCATGGATATTGGTATACCGCAAGGTTCAACCATTCGATGTTATTTACGCCAAGAGTTAAAACCTTCTCTCTACGTTTATTGCAATTTTAACAGGCAGCTGATTGATATTAATGAGCCATTAAATGTGCCGCAAACTCCAGTCCATCAATTACGATCGATTATTACCGATCTAACGGGTTTGCCGCTAAGTTGTTATTGTTTAATTTCACCTTATCGACGGGTTATGAACGATTCCGATAAATTATTAGATCATCTTGTTGATGAAGGCATGACTGTCCGTTTAGAAACGATTAAAGGTTTAGATGAATTCTTTCACGCAGCTTGTGCTGGCAAAGTGCGCGATATCTTGCAATTAATGCCAGCTAATCGCCTTGAAAGACATTACTTGTGTAAAGTCGCTCTCTTTATTGCATCGCATAATGGCCATTACGATTTAACAGGGACTATGCTTTCCATGGGCTATTTAGCTAGTCAGCCACCTGGTTTTCATCCAACGATCAATTGGTGCTTAGATCGAACTCATTTTGGCCATTTAACTACACCATTACATCAAGCAGCGATGAAAGATAATATTAGTATATTACGATTATCCCTATTGAATAATTTAGTGGGAATCACATGCCAAGATGGTTTTAATCAGACACCATTACAAGTAGCTATCAAATATAACAGCCAACAATCCGTTCAATATTTAAAATCACAATTACGACGTTATACCGATCATCAAAATGGTCTAGCAAATAGCCGCTATCCGTCCAAGAATAAATTCCATCATTGTCGTTATCAACATTATAATCCTGAGAAATTATTCGAAATTAAGACATTAGCTCAAGTTGGACGAATTGTAGAAGAAAAAGACGGCCAAGCACGCTTTACAGTCGATTCTCAACGTTATCGGTTGCAAGATTATGATGATCAAGAAGAATTTGTTGTCGTGGATGATGAACATGGCCAACCCAAGTTAGTCAAACGATCATCGATAGATAAATCATCATTGAAAAATGGCCAAGATTATTCTTTACTTATTAAATCGCCATCATCGTCACCACCTCATCGTCGTAAAGCTAAAAAATCAACATTATCCGCTAGTCATACCTATCATTATCGTACAGCCAAAGTTAGTAAAGCAACTCGTGCCAAAACAGCAGCAGATTCATTAATGCCTATCGATCAAAACCCAAAGGATAAGCAACCATTTCATCCGGCATTCTTACATGTTGATAATCATGCTGAGGTTCAGACTAATTTCATAGATGAAAAGTTAACACAATCGACTAATTTACCAACACTTCCTACTACCGCCGCGATTTCGTCTGGTGCTATCCAGCAACAAACTAGTTTTGATTTTGTCAAAGGTTATCGCTCTACCACTACTGCACCCACACTCTCTAAATCGATATCGTTGCCTTCGTCATCATCTTTTACTTCACAATATAATTCTAGGCTGAAATCTGAAACATCATTAGAAGATTTTGAAAGATATCGTGGCCAAAATGCTCGTGAAAAAGCGCTAGCATGTATGGATATAGCTACAACATTTAAAAGTAAGCCATGGTTAAAGCAAATTCAATTAGCTGTCAAGTTAAATGTCAGCAGTTGTAAACGATCGATGAATTCGATCCAATTTTCCAATATCAGTAAATGCGGTACACATCAGTAACCTATTGCAGATGTTGCCGTATTTGCCAGCATTATCCATTATTTCTTAAATTTCTTCAGTCAGTAGTTATTTGCCACCAACAGCGAAAATGTCTACAGTTGACTGATGCAACATTGGCATTAAAGGAGGTTTCAATGAAGCACATGCAAAGCTGAAAGAAGCATCAGTATTGTCATGCCATTCTTTGCTTTTTAGGTTGCTTATATAACGCTTCCGTAGTGTTTTAATAGACAGACGTGATTCAATTTTTCTACTTCTTAAAATATTCTTCCAATCGTCTATCCAAGTCTGATAGACTGGCTGTCATAGTTGATAAATTGTATCAAAGTTGTAAAATACATTATGCTAATTTGCTAAATGGAATCGCCAAATGGTTAAGTACAGTACTTTTGATTAGTTTTATGAATCAGATTTAAAAGTTTGCAATTAAGCTAATTAGAATTGCGTCGAATATAAATTAATCGTTTTATGATCGATAGATGATAAGTTCTCCTTATGATATAGAATAAGGATCAATTAAGAGCTTACAATAGACAATTTAATGTGTTGCCTTTAAAGAGTAAAACTGATCTTTAACTCCCCTGTTAATTTCATCTGCGAATTTAACTGATAGTACAATATATTAAAATTTTTCCCATACGATTTTGGTACCTAATTAAAATAGTATTTTGGGGAAAATTAATACCAGCTCTAATTCATCGTTCATAATAACTATTTAATTTTAGGTTAATCAAGATTCATTGCACAACCTATTTGCATAAAGGAATGTTTACTGCAATATGGTATATGGATAAGAATTCTAATCTAACCATATTTCTATATTCTATATCTCAAGCCTCATGAAAATATAAAGTTAATTTAAAATTTTATGAAAATAAGAGCGTAAAATCATAACAGAATTTCTTTGTTTTTCCCGTTTTATTGTTCCCTTTCTATCTTTATATTTCAAAATAGAACAAATTATCAATTCAACTGTAAAAATTGAAGTATTTTGTCTGCATTATTCATCTATTCTAGCTTTTATAAGTTAATTTAACCCACAAAAACAACCTTGTTGCAGATGCTATTAATTGCTCATTTTGTCTGATTTCCTTCGATTAGTTTATAGTCAGTCATTTCTTGTATTACTAATTATAGATTGAGTATCGTCCGATAGGATTCAAATATGCATTAGTTGTGCTGCGGTTGTATTTGATCGATGGTATCCTGTCATTTTTACCGATTTAATGTAAATGTACCGGAGAACTATTAAGTAATCACTTCTAATTGAAATTATATTTATTTTATTTCGGATCTAACTTCCATCATTCAATAGTAAACAATCGAATTAAGAGTGAAGATGAATCAGAATTTCCTGTAATATTTTGTTTTCTTAATCTATAACTGAATTAGCATTCAAATGGTAGGGTTGATGTTTTTCTAATCTGAAATAAAGTTTACTTTAAGCGCCATAAAAAATATTTAGTAAAATAGATTGTAATAAGATAACGACACGGAAGTTGTTTAACAGACTACGACAGCTACGTCATTTTTTTATGAGCATTCAAAAAGTAAAAGCTATGCTTAAATTAACCGTCCATTCTCCTTTGCAGGATGACATAATCAGTAAAAATTGGCATGGGATAGTTAGTATTATAACCAAATCTTATACATGATTGAAATATAATTGATACACGGAAATGATCATTTATAGTACTACAGTAGAATCACGGATGCATTCGAGTTTAAAATTTTATTAGCCACCATGAGCTTACAACGCACGGTGACGTAAAACAAACTTCGATTATGTCCAAATATTACTAATTTTAAATTACAAAGGAATTTCAACAGCCATTCAATTGGATAAATTTGATGCCCAAGCGGCATATATGCATGCAACAAACTGTTCTAATTATAAATTTGCACGTAAATTATTCCCTGAAATTTGTTAGATAATAATATGCATAGATACATGATATTTCCTAATATTATGTAAGACGGAGACATTTCCACGTTATAAAATGAATGTTATATAAAGGTAGCAAATTTTATAATTTAAAATCGTCTTAAACGTCAATATCGCAAGATCTTTTGTCTATTTATTATGACCTTCAGATCCCGGGACTCCTTCCTGTGTTTGGATATGGTTGAAAATCGCGTAAATTTTAATCAGATGATTGCAAGATCAAGCATGTTGCCAATGTAACATAATGTATCAAAATAGATCACAATAGGAATTCATGATCACGTTGGTATATAAATAGTCAAATGCTGCATTATTAATACGGAATTGACGATATCTTACTACAACAGGGATATAAAGATGAATTCATGTTTGTAGATATCACAAGCTATGATAAATCTAATAGGACGAAATTAACTTAATTTCCAGATTCTTCCAGGATATCACGGTTTAAAAATGAATTGTTTCCTAAATATCAGATAAGGATTGTATATTAATAACTGTTAATGAAAAATCTACAGTCTAATGATCAAAAATATACTAGATTGATTACCGGTACTTTCCGTTCTAGGCAAAGTGTTATTGTTTGTTTCGTCATCGGCACTTTCAGAGGTAGTATGAAAAGAAGTAGAAAAAATTATACAAGTATTATCATTACGGATCTTGCAAATAGCTAAAAAAATTTATCAATGAATGTATAGATATATACGCATGTATTTATAACATATTCATATATTTACCATTGATGAACAGGCATGCTTAAATGATTTCCGTTATAATACGTTCCTGTAGCCAAATTGCTACAGTTGTCTTCCGTTAAAAGGCGCTGTACAGGAGAAGGACATGATTCATTCGAAGTTTCTTGAGAAGCCGATCTACTATTTATTTCACCACTTGATAACGATATGGAATCGCATCGTAAAACTACACCTGTGAGTCATTCGTGCAAAGCATATAAGTATCTATTAAACGACTTCTCTTTAACTTAAAATTGAATTAATATTTATAAATTAATAACCACCATTAGATATACCATCTAGGTCTGAATCGCTATCAACAACTATTATTTCTTGGTTGTTAACAACGTATGTATCTTTCCTTGCTTGATGAGATGCATCATTAGCTATTAACTTTAACTGGGATTCTCTTAACTGTCTTGCATTTTGATGTTGGTTGGTAACCAGGGATGAGGAAGTACTTGCATGAGCTTTTTCGGAGGTTGAGGACCTGGTTATAGTTACATTTGATGGAGAATTTCTTCTTAAAGAACGATGTGTACACTTTGATTGCGGCGTATTTGCTAAACCTGCGACAGCTCTCCCTTCAGAGGTATTCAACGACTCGTCAGAACCAACTTCTAAAAATGATTAAATAAATACAGTAATCCCTTAGCGAACAGCAGTTATAAATTTCTAATTCAGTTTCGAAATAATTCGTCACTGTAAGAGTAAAGAGTAAAAATAAGTATCCGACAGCTCTAATTACAAATAATACATAGCATGCTTTTTTGTAAGAATAATAACAATCAGAGGATGCATAGTCAGTGAATCTTCACTAGTTAGTTCATTACATGTTCGATAATTAATTTTCAATTCAATTGTAGCAATACAAGTATTGATAATAAACCGCCAGTATAGGGCTTACTAAGTCCATTTCATGACAATTATTTTAGCCTTATTTAAGCAGATTAATTACCGTCCTCTTTTTTGTGCGTCAATGCAAAACGAGCGCTAGATTCATCAATGGATGCATCCAATGATGACAGCTCAAGTTCTACCCGTGTTTCACTAGAAGATTCTAATAACATTTTGTTTACGCATTAATTTCAGTTTTCGAATTATTCAGTTATATAGTCCACTATTTTGAATTCTTTCCGTAATTTTACTGTATAATATACCGTCTTTTGATATTTTTTCCTCAGGCTTACCCTTCAATAAGCGCTAGAAATTTTAGTAAGATTCAAGATAAGATATACAAATTAAACAGAGGTATAATTTAAGGTAATATCATTACTGAATCGCCTGAAAATCACCTCTTTCAGCTTTCCAAGTTCAGCTACAACGTTTTGATGCTTTTTTTCTAACATTTCTACAACCCTTAAAAGTATATAAACTATTTATGACACAAACATTAATCAATGCTACGCGTAAGATGATATACTTACCATTCTAGATCGCTACATTTAGAGTAATAGGATGGATGTCTAACGGAAAATCTTAATTGAATTGAATCATTCACTAGATAACCTTCCCTAGACTGTAACAGAAGGCAAGAGTGAATCAGATAATTGATTTCCGTTACGGAATAGGAAGTAACAATTGATGTAAGAAATACCAGTAAATCTAGACGAAAGAAACGATTATAACCCCAGGATTCTCCAACATCAAAGTCTGATGCTATTGAAATCAAACCATTAGCAATATTAATATAATAATATCAAAAGAAGTTTTATGGGTGTATGATATGAAAGTAGTTACCAAATTCCCTAATTATATTCTTTTTAGGATCTGCACGTGAAGTGCCTTGATGGACTAATTCGATGCGATACTCATACCTAGTTGTGAGGGAAAATTAATTTTCTTTGTACTCTTAAAATTTGGTAAGATGATACCGTACTTCGATGTACGCTGTGGACCAGCATGTAATTCGAGAAACACCGATAAAAATTCTCCAGAGGACGATCCACTGCCATTCTACATTTATTGTTTTGTATTTAACTACAGTTAGAAGAGTATAAATATATAGACCCTGTTTATAAATTTGATAGCCTAAGTTAGGTATTCCTACCGGATAAACTTTCAGACGCCATTTTAAACCGTGAGTGTCAAGCATTCGACTATATAAAGGGTTACTGTATCGTTTTTTCCTTCTACAAGTGCATAAATAACAAATTAGTATCTTAGTTAGCAAGAAATTTGTTCATAATTGCTGAAATAGTGACAAACTAATTTTCTTACGTGTAATCTTTTATGTGGAAAGACCCATGAGCAAATCGAGGTACTACCTCACTTGAATAGTAGTGTTGGTACGAGATTGATATTTATTTTAGATCGTATGTAAATAAAAATATTATTGTAGCTAAATTCATAATTAAAATTGCGGGTAATACCTGTCAAAGACGATTTCAATTTCTTCTGTAATGAGTGATTCAATCGATTTTAATCGGATCTAAAAAATTCGCAATTGTTGTTATGACGATAATATCAAAAAGAGCTTAATATTCATGTCTTTAATACTTAACAATAAATTAACCAGTACCACTAACGAGCACACTATTTTTATTCATTTTATGTTTTATATATATACGAACGAGGTATAATATTTGGTACGGTATGCCCAATAATTATAATGATACGAGATTAGACACGTCCATAATGTAGATTTCTAAGTTTATCATCTACCTCTTCCATTGTTTCTTGTAATTCTGTAGATCTGGCTATAAAGCGACTTTTCGATGATTGAGAGATATCTCGATCGATTTCACTAAGAAATTGCTCAAGGGAATGCATTTGGCTACTTAGGTTATCTTTTTGACCTTTAAATATGAAAAAGTAGAGATTGAGTCTTTGGTATCATTTTGAATATTATGCATGCAATCCAAAAAAATGAGCTAACTATGTAATTTCTCTAATTTTTGTTTTAATTGGCGGTCAAGACGCGATGTGATATTATTAAAGGTAACTTGCACTTCCTGTACTGCCTGTTTGAAAAACATAACATGAATATAATCTTGTGATTAGAATAAAGATGGATATTTTTAATGAATGGGGATTTAATTTACGAACTATCTCCAAGATCATAAATTTTTGTCGATAAGATATAATATTATTATTAGAATGTTAAACAAGAAGGGCTTTACAGCTATACGTAAAGATTATTACGAAACCAAATTTTAGCTGTAGCATCTATCGGCAATGGTATAAAATCGTTGTATGACACTTAATTATTAGTGGTAGTATTTTTTCTGGAGTACTTTTACGTCTAATTGGTTTAAACATCAATATTAACACCATAAGGTAACTATTATAATTCGATTACAAACTGATTACAAATTGCACTAGAATTTTGGAACCATGCATTATGTAAGAAACGTTAACCCACAGTATGTGAGTTCTAATAAATTATAAGTAATTATGAAAGCATGTAGTAATAGTAACTTACAATGTCTTTAGCCCTTTTAATTTTTTCTATCTTTTTATCCTAAAAATGAGTGTGATAAAATGATTGAACGATAGTTAGTATGACTATAGGTAAGGTAAATATAGGAGTTGTCTTTTTCTTTAATAAAATTGTAGAGTTTTCAAAGTTTTTTCGACGTACTGTTTCCTCAATTTTGCTAACAAAACTGCCTATGCGTTGTCTTATTGAGTTAACCTGCAAGATACAGAACATAGACAAGCTGTAATATTGATCAACTGAAAGGTAATTGCAATAGATATAGCTTACTTCATTTGATATCTTTGATGAACATTGCTTGTATATATCTTCGATAGGTTGAAATGAGTGACCATGATGAATATCGCCACCCCATAGTGCACATTGATGACAAATGGATCTCATACATGTATTACAGAATACCGTTAATTTTTCTTTGTGGATTTCACAGCTAAACGAAATATGACAACAGTGACAAACAATTTCAGTTTATAGCTATCATAAAATGATCACTCCCGAAAACGTCGCATTAATTTGATTACCTATCTTCTGGTGTAATTTTAGTATGAGATTTATTGTTTTGAGATACAAATTTTAATGACTCCAGTTGCTACATTGGTCAAGAGAATAAGATGATATTTGAAAAGATAGTCGTTCCGATCATTGAAGGATACAATAAACATTAAACGGTGTTCTTGCAGGTTATACTGATAACTTACATCAGTAACTTCTTCAACCCATCTACATTTAACTAATTCGTGAATATGTAAATGAGCCCTATAAAAACAACGCCAACTCTACTTACTTGCTTTTCAAGATAGCATGTTTAATTTTACTGCTAGTAGCTAGATAAAAATACTCAAGAAGACTAGGGTATCAACAAAGTATAGCTATTCAGGTTTAATATCTTATTGAGTATAGAAGTAACTTAATATTGTATTGCATTCCTTACCTGCAATGAGGGCAATGAGATCTTTGTTCACAGAGCCATCTCTAATTATTAATATCAGCAATGAAATAGTAAAGAAAAATTGTCATCAAGATATGCACAATGTGACGTTAGTCATATAGATTTGTACTCTGGTGTAAATATTTCATTTTACAATTATGATCAACTTATTATCTATACGAACTCCTATTTCGACACCTAATAGTAGCGATTAATAGGATGACTAATTCGAGGTGCTAGTTGATTTATTAATAAGAAATTAATTAAAGAACATTAACACCAATAATTAAAACCAAATTAGATGACGTGAGTCTTCATTGACAGTTCTAAGATTATCGTATGCGTTCTAACAATTATTACAGTTGTACAGTACTATAATTATATTCATATTTGTATGGGATTATTGAATTATTAGAGATTTTCTTATTGATAGATAATTAACTCCATGACCAGAATATAAGCCCCAGATGAATTAATGTTTGACAGAGTTTATATCTATTCTACAATAAGTGTTTAGATAGGAGTAAAGAATGTAGTTATATTTTTCGAGGAGAAATATTCTGTTTTACTGTGTGCCTTTGTTCTAACAGCTAAAATGTATTTATGCTATTTACTAGGGATTGGCTGTAGTAATTTCAAGGAATCGGATAAAAGTTTGTAATTAAGGGAAGGACATTTTATTCTAGTATAAAATCGAAATTGATTTCTCGCAATTATAACACGACCAAAGCATACTATAGTTTGCAATGTACGGATTACAATTGATTGTTTATTTAGGAACAAATTTTCTATCGTAACTATTAATGATATGGTATAACACTTTACTATAGTACGATAAGATATCCTTATATCAATTCGATTCTTCTACTTGCCCGCACGCAATAGTGGTATACTGAATGGCATAACATCTTATGTATATTGGTATAGATCACCTTCTGTTCCTTAATATCCGGTTAATTAAATCGGGAATAGTTACTTTTACTTACGGTCATATACTGATATATCATGATTTAAACAAATTACCGGTCAAGCAAGTACATATATAGAGAGACACTTGAAATTACTCTTATTTACAAACTAATGCTTTCAACGATATTGGTTAATAATACTATTGTTATTGCTAGTTCATGCCAGTCAAGGAAGTACTCGTGTATCAAAAGATACTCTTGTGTGTCAATATTGAACTATTCCAAGGTAATCTTATTACAATTTTGTATACTATATGCGTAAATCATGTATTATCGAATGAATGATTTGAAAACTGGATTAATTTATTTCATTTTATAAATAAGAAGAATACTCGTAAAGTGGATATGTTAATGTCATTTGCAATCGCTAGAAGTGGAAAGATACAAGACTGATTCGTTCTACGTTTAGTACATAGAAAATTGAAAAGAAGAAGAAAAATTCTATATGTTCTGTATACAATAAATAAAATATCAAGATAGAATATTCTTTCATTTCTACATGACAGTCGACTCACCCTCATACACGTATGGCAGCATAATTTGGAACAGTGTGGGCATAGTCGAGCATCCTTCAATTTTTCCATACATATAAAACAGCGGAATACATCTTTGATGTTCTATAGGGTATAAAGTAAAGTAGGTGTTAGAAAAAGAAAATCAATTGTTGGCTTGCAGCTGTCGCATTAACCGTTCCATGTAATATGACGCCAGGATGCTATCATTCACAACAGCATTGATACCATTCATCATCTAATAATGCTCTATTTTTTTTTCATCTATCATAAATTGAGTAAAGAGGGAGGCATGGTAGTATCTTGTTGTAGTTAACTCTGCCATCTCTTACTCCTAAGATTAAAGTCCTATCCGCGCCCCTTTTCTATTCATAGTCGTCATGATGAGTTCATCATATTGGCTAAAAGAAGTTGCGTTACTCCACCCTTCAAGTTGAAACTCTAACCGCAACAGCATCGATCACATTACACATTTCTCTAAATGTACATTATTGTTGGTATCATGTTAATTCAATCGTAGATGCTCTATTTCGTTGTTTTCAATGCTATAACAGAATGATTATTATTAAAATGTGTAAAACATTCGAATTCAAGCGGATGTTGCCCAACCGAGTCTAATCAAGAACAATACCTCCATTGTATCTTTCTTTTACTACCATGATTTTCTATCGGTTTAGTAGTCTATTTCACGTAGCGATACTATTATTACTATGGATATCTTATCCTTTATTGTCCTTGCCTTTTTGAATTCAAGCCGCGTCCACTTGCAATACCTGTATCAAGGTCTTTTCATTTTTTTCCTTTTACTAATATCGTTGTGGATTACTAAGTCATCATTCCAATATTACGGAAATGCTGTCTTTCGATCAGTCATTAAAATAACTAAACGAGGTGATGTGGTCCTTGATCATAACACGCTATTACTCGCTGTCTCTTTCTGACAATGTATTGTTGGTTGTTTTTTTCTTGTGTATAAATGCTGTAAATAATACTTATGAAAATCTCAAGCAGAACAAAGAAATCGGGGAATACTCGTCTAACAAGATCCGTGTTTGAGGTTTGAGGGCAGTTAGTGTTATTGGAAAGCTAAAACATCCAATATCATTGCCAAGACGTACATGATGGCAATCGCTAGCGGTACTTGGTGTTTATTCAAGCTTTTGGGCTACTTTATAGTATAGTATAGAGCGTCAAGAGGAGATTCTTATAAGAAAAATATATTATATTATTCGATCGTCGACTGCATACTTAGAAATCTTTATTCATTGATGACTAAAGATCTGAGTTTAAATGTTACCGAGAATGAGCTGTTATTCCTCGTATATTGTAGTTTTCTAGGGCTTTCATTATGAACTAGTTCTACGAATATAGTTATCGGCCGATTTCGATGTTGCATTTAGTTTCGTTTCGTTAGTAGAAATTAAGAAGAAATTACACTATAATAGAGTAGGGTAAAGAATCGATTTTGGGGGTTATGTTTATGATAATAAAAAAAAAGTGAAATTTTACGATTGCGTTTTATCCATTGATATTTTCATGATTCGGAGATCATCGCTATACGTAGAATAGAGTCTAAGCTTATAATGGAAATAAGTACCGTTATCCGATTTGTTCATAACATCAAGTTAGCAAAAAGTGCGATGCTTGTCTAACAGTCAATGTACGGTATTGTAGGCGAAGTTGTCGTAAGATCAGAATCAAGTTGATTAAGAAATTGTTGAATTGTCGAAAGGGACAATACTGTACGCTTATATATCTAGTGCTATCACTTTTTCGCTGAACGTATATGATGCGATTTTAGATCAATTAGGATAGAAAAGAAGGCCATAATTACTCAACCAATAACATAAAGGAATACTTTACTTCATAGGTTATATCATAAACAGACGTACATCTACGCCATGGACAAATGTAAGATTCATTGGAAGAATAATTATTTGCTGTTAACTTAAACGCCAATAGCAAAGGCGAAAATTTAACGTAGGATGATCGATTGAACAATTTTCTATTGACTCTAGAGCAAAAGGTATGATAGCCTAGTTTGTAAGATAGTTGATACTTTTACCTCCCTACTCTACATTCCAATAAAAAAAAAAGCAAGTCAGCAGCTGTAGACTAACGATAGAATGATAGGAATGCATAAGAGAAAGTAAAGTAAAGAAGAATAATGTGGATTAAAACCGAGCGATACAGAATACGAATGATGTTCACGGCCTCCATGCATTTCTAAAGTCTTCATTAGAATCAATCCAGTTCATTAGCGAGATATCGAATAGCTGATCCAGTCCAATCATCATACTACTGTACTGTAATCCATAATATTTTACTAGATGGTTTATTTGGATCTTGCCTCTATATTATTATTTTATAACTCATAGATGAACGATTGCATTAGTTGTTCCATTGGATAGGCATTGAGAAGATATTGGTATAGCTTCGATGTGGTTGTAATCTATGGTCGAGTTAGATAACATGATCTTCAATGACTATTATCTATTCAAGTCAAATTGAATTGGATCTCTTTGATCGACGATGGTAAGCGAATATATTTTCATCTCCTTTTTAATACTCATATTGAAGCAATGATAGATTTTGAAATGATTCAATATAGAGACAGTGGTGATAGCTTACCTGGACATCGCTGCACGCTGGCGTTGTTGTGCTGCTGCGCTCATGTTGATCGATTGCACTTGTCGTTTTGGATACTGACCAAGCAGAAAGTAACAATGGATTTAAATACCAAGCGCCAGTCTACGTCACTTCCACTCTGGCGGTAGTGTACAGTACTGTGTACTGTAGCGTACACTGTACTGTACTGTACTGTACAGTGTACACGAGGCTTAGTGTACTGTACAGTGTACAGTGTACAGTGTACAGTGTTTGGATACTGAGTTCAGAATGTTTGGGTCAAATCACTTTCACTTTCCCGATGTCGTACTGTACTCTTACTCTTTATAAAAGGCTACTGAGACTAGACCTGACTGTAGTACTGTACAGTGCATCGAATTTCTTCTTGGAGAAATGGGTGAATACTTTTCTTGTTAATTTTTGCAGCAAAATTCATCAAATTTGATACGTGTAGAAAGAGGAAGGTCTACCGATTTATTCGCCAATTTAATCGAATTCATCAATTTTGGGCACTTTAATTTCATTTTGAAAACTCTGAATAGAATTTCTACACGCTGTATAGTACAGTGTTAGTCTCACAAGTCCCTGACTCGACTGTACTAAATTCACCGTTGAATTTACTAGCCCTTGACCGTCTATTGGCTTTTTCAGCCAAATGTTATTGTTTTGTTGTTTGATCACTTTGTTTTAGTATCAGAAATCTGAACATGTAGAAATTAATGGGCTACATTTTTAGAGATCCTTCTCCAAGGGTTTCTAGGCTACATTTTCCAATTTTAGGATTGTGCTGTATTGTACACTGCTGTAATGGTAATATACTGTAGAATTGGAACGAAAAAGGGTTCTATCCAATCGATTGTATTGCTGAAATTTGTCTTGATCACACCCTTGGATTTTGATTTACATTACTTCACCATACTTTTGAAGGAATGAATACAGTAAATATCAATTTAGTTTTACCCAATAAGTTGTTTTTATTCGCCCAAGATTTTCACTACTTGAAGTCATTAGTAAACTGTAAAAGTATGATCGACGTTATATACTGTACTCTGTACAGTGCAGTAGGATGGCTATTTTTTCAGTATCGTACTACTTTATAGTGTACTGTACACGAGAGACCCTCTATGAACCTCTATGAACACTAAAATGTACAGTTACTGCCACTTTCTTGCTCAATATGACTGACGATTCCAGAAAGTTTCTACCGTGTAGTCCAGTTCTTGGTTTACTACTTTCTAGTATACACTAGAGACCCTGTATGAACACTAAATTGCATAGTAATGCCGGTTTCTTGCTCAATATGACTGACGATTCCAGAAAGTTGCTACCTTGTAGTCCAGTCCTTGGTCTACTACTTTATAGTATAGTGTACTGTACACTAGAGACCCTGTATGAACACTAAAGTGCTCAGTACTGCCGCTTTCTTGCTCAGTATGACTGACGATTCCAAAAAGTTTCTACCGTGTAGTCCAGTCACCTGTCTGTCCATCTCGATGGTTACAGTGTACAGTACAGCATACTGTACATGATACAGTCCCAGTACTGTAAATAATCGAGCATTTCTTCGCGCCTTTTTTTAAAATCATATTCAAGATTGGTGAAGTGCTGGTGGATGACGCGATGTCGGACTGTGTCACACAATACTGTATTGTGCAGTACATACGTTGTGAGTCAATACCACGAACGACATGATGAAATGAAGCAACATAACAGGTGTGTTGCTCTCGATACGTCACATCCACTGCTACAATTGTTGGCGAGCGCTCCAGCGTATTCCTTGCGGCCATTAATGAAGAATTGAGTTGAAGAAGAGAAGCAATTTTCCATGTAATTCTACCATGAACTGCCTTTCAGCATTAACCTAGTGGAAATTTACTAATTAAGCAATACTCTTCTATTAAAATAGATCCTTAATCAAGTCTAAAATTGGTCAATTTTGCAAGTTGAGCAGCAACTCCAGTGAAGTTGATCGTCATTTGTGTCAGTGAGTGAATGGGTGTGGATCTACCAATAGTGTAGGTAGATGATCAAGACAACGATACAAGCTACAATTTAATGTTCATTTTCGATTGAGATTTGTTAGCTTGCTTTTCCTCTTGGTTTGAATACTTTTAATTCTATCACTCTAGTGGAGTTCACTTTGTGCAGATAACACGTAGAAGATCCATACAGAGACAATCGTCTTGACTGACACAACTGCGATAGCAAACAATCATTCAATATCCATTTTCTACTAGCATTTTGGGGGTCTAAGTTTTGCTACGAGTTGCTGTGGTGATTAATTGGAAAAGATTCAACGTTACATTAGTAAAATATAGAGTAGAAAGATCCATACCGATACAGTACGATCAAAGTAGAATTTGCTAAGAGTCAAGAAACGCTCACTTTAACCCAATGTTTATTGCAAATATCAAGCAAGAATTTTATAGCGCGATTCTATATCAGGTAAGATGATGGATACTTCTTCATGAAGAGCCTTTCTTAGATGTCGTAGACAAGTCGATCTTGAAGCGTTTTACTATACTACGAGTAAAAGTCAAATAAAGACCAGTTTGGTCAACTTTACAACCAACTTTGCATTCTTCTAGTAGAGTTGCTGTTATTAGCCAATAACCTCTTTCAGATTGTAACCATGAAAAGCATACTTGCATCAATTTGATACATGATTATAATTGACTCAATCCCATGATTGTTAGCCTTATTTTCTCTTTGAAATAGATGAAATGGAATGGTAATTATTCTTTTTTATCCATATTTTTATAGCGTGTTTTAATAATTGCAGTAGCAGATTGCGATTCGTTATGTAGCTGCAAGATCTTACAGGTGAGTATCGTAGCAAGTTAGACACGGATTAATTATTGATTATTTATTTATTATTAACCTTGTATCCCATGAAAAACTCTATAGTAATACTATTCGTCATCTTCTAAAAGGTATATTGTATACTGTATAGACTATGTACATGGAGATTACAATCATGCTACTTGCGAATGCCCTCAAAACATAAAACACTATTATTGTAGTGCATACAGCTTACGACTTTAATAACCAGTCATTATACAGAAGACAATGTTCGATATATAAAGTCGATCATAAAAAATATCACACTTCTCGTTATTTGTCCATTCTAACTAATATTTGATTTAAATCAAAACAGTCTATCCTCCATTCTGATAATATTGGGTACACGTTAGTACCTGTTAGCGGATTACAAGAATTGGAACGGGTATATCTCGAATATAGCGATCAGGTAAGTTCAAAAATTGAATAGCTATTAAATAATACTGGTGCCTGTAGAAATGATAATCTGAAAAGATACTGCAATAGCTGTATTACAGTATTACTATAGTCTTGTGCTAACATGATGCAGAATGATGCTATTAAGCTTCACTATTTCAAATTGCGTTAAAAAATGACTAAAATAGTTGTCAATGTAGCTTGATATCACTATCATGATTCAGTTAATTCAATTTAGTCAAACTACTTAACAGTAAGTAGATTTATCGTGGCTCGATTGGCACTATCAATTTTTACTCATTTCAGATTATATTGTGAAATTACAATGCTAGACAATCAAATCTATCGTTAATCAAAAATTAATTTCGCAGTGCGCGTATATTGTATATTGCTGCTGCTGGTTAAATACTTTTCTGTTAATGTATTCTTAGTTTAAAAATATTATCCTCATCAATTGTGGTGGTAATATCAATATTGTGGAAATCTTACAACCAGAAGAGGATGTCAAATTTTACGTAATCGATAGGTAAGATTCAATAAAAGTGGTTGTGTCGAAACATTCTCATTTAATACGCATATATGCCTCTTTTTATTCTAACCTATTTAAACAACATTTTCTACAGTCATCGGCCTTTCGATCTTAATAATGTATTTAATCAAGACCAAGTAAGTTTGTCCAATCGCATATCTTCTACACTATACACTATCTCGTTACAGTGTTATCCTGACACAATACAGCAACTATCTTTGCTAGTTAATAACTACACTCTTAGTATGATGCGTATTAATCAATACTTTCTAATTTTGGGATTTTTGGTAAAACTAATTTTTAGTGATGTGATGTATTATAAAGATCACTGTACTGAAAATTGATTAACTCTTTACTAGAGAACATGTACTGTAATTTAATGCATACTATATTTCGTGAGCAGATATTAAAACACTCTGCGTTTACTGATACAGGTAAAAATAATTCTAATGGAAGGAGAAACAGTTGATATACCGGATTTTGACGATGTTTTTCGTCAAAATGAAGATGAAGAAGATGACGATGATGATCGTGATAATCTTGATAACGGTAGTTCTGCCGATGAAGAGATTGAGGGAAGCCCGCGTAAAAGAATGAAGACTGATACGGTTAGTACTAATAATTATAATTGAGATAAAAGTTAAGGCCAAATGGGTAGACATTTATTGGGTTACTCTATTTTCTTAGTTATCGAAAAGGAGGTGGCTCCAGAGAAGGTAACATTTACACTCTACGCATATTTTGATTTTCTACCGTCTCTTATTTCAAGCATGTCTTTTCCTGCTTACAGTACTGATACGTAACATGTTGATTTACTTCTTTGTGCGTATTAGAAAAGAAATCTTGTTCAGTTATTACGAATTTGCTTATTATGGAACTGCTGTAAGTGCTCTAAATTGTTATTGCTAATATCAGAATTAGCCTACAGTTTGAATATACATCGTAATAGTAATATTGCACGCGTATTATTTTTACTAGTCGGCAATGATTGCATTTGATCTCGCTTGGAAGTTGTCGAAAGATAATAACGACAATTTATGGTAAGCCAGTCATATGGCTACGCTTTTCTAAGTTATCTTTAGTTCAAACTATCAGCTAGAATGATATGGTATACTGTTCTACTACATAGGTGGACCATAATTGGATTGACAGAGCAATATCTGCATCAAAAAATTGATAGGTTAGTTGCGATTTAAATATCAACGTGCTATTCGAAATTTTGAATCATATACCGCGTATCAAGTACTTAAAAATTGATAAATTTTATCTTTTATTACGTAAATTAAAAGGGACAAATACGTGCTTGATGTTAGTACAATTCAAGGACATGTTATGCGTTTAAATCGTACTAGCGATGAATCTGGATTATCTATTAATTGCATGAAAATCGGTTTCGAAAATGAGTATCCAAGAGATTTCTCCCATTATTGTAATAGATAACAATATTGTTAACTTTAAATTATTACATATTGCGTTATCCTTAACTTAAATTTAACAGTTTACGACTTGTACTATATAAGCATTGGTCGCTATATGAGAGTTTCTATTACTCGCTATATACTGCGTGTAAGTTTCGTATCTGGACTATGAAGGGGAAAAAGAATTTACACGAATTACTAGCTGAAATAGGGTAAAACTTCACATGAAATTTATTTTTGGTAGGCATTTTATATTTAGAGTATCGAATAAGATAGTATATATTACGATTGTTTCAGTATCCCTGTTAAACAAGCAATGCAAAAATTTTCTTCCATGGATATGGAGTATAAGATAAATGTTAAAGAATGGATAGAAAATCTAGCTCAAAAGTTTGGGTACGGGAGTGCGAAAATATTAATACTTAAATTGCCATAAATTATACATTAGATTATTACATTTTTTTAATTCACCTTCTATCATTTTCCTGATATAGATTATCGGATATTACGTTTGGTTCATTTAGATCTCAGTTTGGTTATAAAACAAAGGTAGATTCTATTCTATTTTTTGTTTTCGGTTACTACATTATTCATTATTAACAATTATTATCTTATCCTTATTTCTTGTTATTACTTTGAATTTTTTTGAATAGTTTACTGCCGCCGATGCAGTTTACGGACTTATAGCAATAATAGAAGACATGGTAATTTTTTAGTAATTAGTATGGTGGTACTTTATACCCTTATAGATTGTGGGTATTGAAACATTATCGATATCGCTTTCGTTTAGGAGAATCCCAAACCTTTATCGGATAAATTTTTAGAAGCTCTTGATTCGCTTTCCAGGTTGGCTGTAATTATTAATGCAATGTATGTAAATAAAATGTAATTTGATTATTTGATTAGTAAATTAATTTACTTTTAGATCAAAATGTAAGACATTATCGGAAGGAATACGAAAAGCAAAATTACAGGTATACTATATTTTAAAGTGTATTATATATTGAACATACTAATGATCATAATAGGATGTCAAGTTACAATTTTTAACGCGAGTAGCATATGGCACTAGAGTGTAAATACTAACGGTAACAACTAACTATATATTAATAATACTTGATGTTTTAATAGCAAATCGCGATATTTAAGCAAGTTCGAAACTTTATCGATATGCGACAAGTAGTTTGTGCTGGACCATTTTTGTATGCATGCATCGATGAGGTAATATTTCCATAACATACTGACGTACGTATAGGTACTGCACTATTACCTCAATTTGGTAACATACATTTTATTGTTTAATCAAGGGATCATCAGATAAAAAGATATTTTGTAAACCAACAACTCTTGGAAAATTAGCACGATTTCTCTTAACTGCCTATGTTGCATCTGTAAGTAGCTGGATTATTGTCCGACAAATTATAGGTATCATATAGCAACTTAAACAATTTAAACTGTCTATTTTACATAGTCAAGAAATAAATTAGCTGCCAGTCTGCCTATGGTACTAGTAACCCCTTTAGATACAGATCGAGGTAACTAATTTTTATACACTGATGATGTTCTCCAGAAAAGTATAATTTTTATAGAATGGATTTAAGTCATCAATTTATGTAATATTCAAATAGGAACTTCACTAGTTCTTGGCATACCTCCGATAGCAGAAGACACAGCTAGAAAGTACGTCGAGTTTCGGAGTTTATCTGTGTTTTTCGATTATAACTTTCGTTTCGCTATATAGTTTTCTCGGTAGGGCTTTCGAGCAAGCGGCAGAAAAAACTAAAGCGAGAACACTACATGACTGTTTTGATTCATCAAGTAATTAATGGTGTTATTTTTTAACAGTTTGAAGTACTCGATAAAACTAATGATTTCATTTTATTTAATTTAACACGCAGTTATAGAGATTAAATCCGAAGATCGTGGAAAATTCTTCGATGCTTTGTCGGCCTTGTTGGCTTAAATAGTTATATTAACCTGACATTGATTTCAAAGTAATTATTATAGTTGAAAGAAAATATAAAATATAAAGATCCCATGATGCTCTACAGTTATAGTTCTCTTTTTCATTTATTCTGAATTTATGTTACATTAGAATTGTGCTACTTTGTAATGAAATATACATGTAGAGCAGTAGCACGCGATTATAAGCCACTGTAAGTTTGTATTGGCAAGCTGTATACATTTTAATGTACTTATATATAGTAAATTTTAGGCTTTACCGTTTAATTGTATAATATACGTACGTATTTATTGTAAAATATATGTCCTGGTGTTAGTACATAATTATTGTGCAACTTTTAGTACGCATATTTGTCACCAAGACAAAATGACGTATACATATTTCACTTTACATGAAGCATATATCTTGTACACAACTATTTTATGAGATTGTGATGGTATACACACTCGTATGTATACTGTATTTAATAAAGACATTTTGCATTCGTAATATAGCTACTGAATTATGATGCCCATCATAGATACAGCTTAATTGCGACGTGGTTAGCTTTGTTGTTGAAGTACCTATCTGAGCTTTTACTACTTAAATGTGCAAGTTGTAAGATATACCTTCGCTGTAGCCCTGCATGTTTAAATTTAGTTATTATATTATTACATTTGAGAGCTTCCTCTCTAAAGGTATGTTAGATCTTTATGAAATTTTATTAAAATAAAATAAATTGTACATTATAGACCCGTCGTAACTACGATTGGAGGCCTATCAAAAAGGCTTGCTAACATTATAGTAAGTACAGTTATACAGTAGATGCATAGGCCGGATAAATAATACCTTGAAAGTTAATTTCCACATTAGAAATATTGACAGATATCAATCTAAACGTACTTTCGTTATCACGTAGCGCATAGAAACTTCACTACGTCGTTACTTCTTAAATTAAAAATGATGTTATAGATCGTAATTTAGCCGAAGCGTTGGTTAAAATATTGCTTTTTCCTGATAATTTAAAAGAGAATTCTAATATTTTTTTGTATTATTCATCAACATTCAAGTCTCTAATGTCGATTTGTGGTCCTCGATACGCCTATGAATATTAGATAAACATTTAAATGCATTACTGTAGTAAGACCTTTACTAGTTTTCGATTCGAAGTAGATACGATTTCGGTTATAGAAATACGTGTAGATATATTCTATATGATTAGTAACTGTCTTACCACTGGATCACAATAGAAAGTGCGAGGTGGTGAAATTTCTTGGAGGTAACAAATTCTACGGAAATGACGGAAAATAATCGTTCACTTAGAAATGATATAAAATGATGAGGAGTTAGTACTGTGATGGAAAATTAATAGGCCAGGCAATTTCCTACTTATCATCCTCTGTATCCTGTAATTGATCAAATAAGAATTGATTAACTATATTTATTAACATTCATACATACGCGTACATACATGTAGAAATAGAAAAGTATCAAGCAGTATTAAAATTATCCTTGTAATTGATAAAAGGCATAATATAAATTTAAAAGTATTAACTATCATGAAAAATCTAATTGGTAATACTATTATTTATACTATACCGTCGAGTGTTCCTCAGGATAGACATTTTCTACAGGAATATAGTAATGACAATTTCGATTCTAATAGTATCAATATAAGGATACAAAGTTATCAAAAATAGTAAACTACCTAAAATGATAATTAAGTGGTACGAATAAGAATAGCTATCATAAACAGAATAAATTTAATCTTGTTCTTTGCTAGCCCTAACATTATTATTCATAATTTCTTTATTGTAATTGTAAATTTTATACAAGATTCATTGAATATAATAGTGGGAATCATATTTACGATTTTATTAGCCTAATGATAATTTTTACCAGTACATAGACAGACCTGACTAGCATTGTAAGGTGGTGCTAAAATATCGATAAATGCCGTTGGACCACTGTAATTAAGATGAAATATTAATAACTAAATAAAGAAATTCTCGTAATTTCCATAATAGTGGGCAAAACAACTTATTAGACAGAAAACATGAAGATTCTAAATGCACTTATTGTACAACAGTATATATTGACTACCATCCTATTATAATTATCACAATGTATTAATAGCAAATTTTTTTCTTGTAAGCAATTATGGCCATAACCTAGTTTTCTCAACAGATAGAACGTTCAAATATTGTAAAATGTATGTGTTCTTTTGCTATAACAAGTAATTTATCTAAAATATTTAGCTATTATCTAAGATCGGGTACAACAAGTATTTTAATCATAGACCTGACAGCCTCGATGCTGTGATAATTATCCTGGTCACTTTGTAAGGTCTGCACTTCATCATCATCTTTAATAATATATTGTCCACTATGAATGCACTTAATTGGTTCTACCGGGTAAGAAAAGCGTAAAAATATATTTTAGTAAATCTTAAAAAGAAGGAATATATCTTCAGCCCAAGAATAAAGTTATGAATAGCACGAATATGCATACGATGTTGCCAACAGAGGCCAAAAGCTGTAATTAATTACTTATGATAATAATTATTATTGTCAAGTATTGAATGGTTTTATTACTATGACTTTCTTAATATTAATAGGGTATAAGATTCTTATAGCTTTACTTACAGAGTAATTAATATCTTACCTATTCGACGTTGAAATTTTAATTTCATTAGGCTACGTGTATTTCCATGTAATTAGTAGATTTATCAAAAGAGATAAAATTGATAATAATTATTAATATAAACCTTAAATAAGATTTTAAAATTTCATCATGATATTTTTGACGTAATGAATAAGTAAGGATATTACTAATGTAAAATCGTTGATAATTGAAAGTTTCGTACCTTGTTCGCGCACATCCACCGCTGTCAAGGCGATCATATGATGTAATTTTCGCTTTTCCATATAATACTTTACTAGTATGATCAGAGTTTGGAAGAATTAGACTAAATCTAGTTTGTATTTTTCCTATGATAAGCCGTTTGGTAGTGTATATCATCAGTCATGCTTGAAGCAAGGAAGATCCGGTACTTCAAGTAGAACTAATTTTTATACGCTAGAACTTTTCATCTTGACACAAACAGGTCCAATCTGCATTTACTTACATTAAACCAGTCATTTCAGGATGATCGTGGAGTGGAACAGAACACTTTTCACGGACTATAAAAACACACAAGTTAAAATATTGACATTCGTGAATTGCTATATAGCCAGCTGGAGCTCCATGGGGCCTAAGTAAGAATGCATCGAGTGCTTCTTCTAAAGCAATATCTTTAGCTCGTAATCCAGTTAGCTAAGTTAAACATCAGAAACACATTATTAATATACTGTACAACAAAATTGTCAGTGAAGTCAATTAGAAATGTTCATCATTTAGTATTTATAAGTATTCATCCGTAACTCTTATATATATATATATATATATATATATAATCGCCATGCTTATTCTTCTCAAGAAGGAGCCGATAGGCATATTATAGATTTACAATATCCGTAAGAATACAGTATTCATGTATCATTTAGAATAAGTTGTTCAGCTTGTGATTAGTATCATAACGTCATAATTCTCGTTGGATATACATCATAAATTTAATCTTTTTGTAAATTAGCTAATCTATAAGTGGCAATATTGGTTTCCATACAGATACTGGATACATTACGTAAGAGAAATAGACCTGCGCTTTAATTTCGATAGAAGAGAATTGGATTAGATGGAAAGTCTACATTTAGTGCATCTACAAGTATTCCTTAAGATAACTCATAGCCCAAGTTGGGTGCGAAAAAATTCAGAGTAATCATTTCGATGAAATAGTAGAATCGGTTTAGAAAATCTGATCGACAGGCATATGATGCTCTTTAATATCATTAGTAGCAAAATTTGCAGTAAAGTCCAATGTACTCGAATCGACTATGATTGAAAGTTGCCGATTCAGCTGAAGAATCTGATGTAAACGCTAGTAGTACAGCGGGTAAAGTCATATACTCTGAAGGGAGCTAGTTACGCAACAAGGTAATTTACTACGATTGATGTTTTCAGTTAGCAGAAAACTTCACGATCAACATGAAGGAAAATTCTTCGTTAAATTGTTCAAATCGAATGAAAGACTAACCAGTGTACTCAATTTGTGATAATTGGCTGTATAGCTATCAGATCTGGAAAATGTTTTGTAAGCTTGCTTGACAATTCGATGAATTAAGGCCGACATTTTGATCTTATTATCTTTCACTTGATCCGGTTAGCAAATAAGCCAACTGCACTAGCTACTAATACTACGATCTATAAGAATAATGAATAAACAGGATAGAGCAATCGAATCTCAATCATAAACTATGAGAGTAGAAAAACCTTTTTAGTTACGCTTAAGAGAAGATCGCTTCCTGATTGCTGAATGATTTGGATCTACTGTACTGTACTTCTTAACGACTATAGTATAAGCTATATTAGTACTGAGATATGAGAGTTTAAAGCCATATTGTAGCTATATTATGTCATAATTTATGCGATCTGGTATGGGGGCGTCTCGCTGAGGAGTGCTATTGGTATAGTCTGATATCATGGATAGAGTCTCCAACTCCATAATGAATTAGTACTTATAATATAGGCTCAGTATTTCTTTGCCTGTAGTATGCTTATCAAGCTACGTCTATCTACAATAAAACCTACAGCAACTTAATATTAGATGCTGTAATCATCTGTAGCTTTCTTTTTGAGCTTAAGGATAGGTTTACCTATGATAAATGCCAGTCAATATGTTTAAATTCCTAAAATAAATACAAGCGCAGCACACACATATCCAGCATAACACTTGTGAACTGCTCAATGGACGGTTTCTGATTACTAAAAGTAATATATTTAGACATGGGATCAGAAACGATACTGTACTTCACAGCTTCGGTTAATGTATCATGGAAGATACGGATAATTAACAGCAATAATATTTCTAGCGCGGTATGATTATGAACTAAATCCGAACATGGATACGTCTTATATAGTCAAATACGTACAGCAACTCCAGTTTTAGTCACACGCAAGAATGATTTGTTAAGGTTTTATTATTTCATTTGCATCTTCAAATACAGAAAGCTTGATAGCCAGAATCAATCATACGGCTAGTAGTCCTGAATAATAGTTTTTTTGCCATCAATTTTTCATATTGCGTCCAGTCGCTCTCATAATGTTGTATATAGCATCTTAATACTAATTATATGACAAACAATATTTATTTCTATACACAGTTTTAGACAAATGCATCTTTTTTAGAAAAAGCTCAATGATGATACTGTACAAAGCTAAAATATCTCATTATATATGAATACAGAAACGACAGCGCTCTATTTTTTTTATTATACATTAAATGCCTTTCCTAATTTCAGAAAATAGAGTATGATTTCATACCGAGGCAAGACATAAACTAGCCGTCGTATGTATGAGTATTGTATCACTATCTATACACATTGATTATTGAATAGTACAAATTTTCTTTACTTCCGCATCTACATCATCTTCTTCATCTGGAAAAACAACTGCTTCCTTTTCAGAGAAATCTGGGATAACCTTATCGCATAACAAATCCTCACGTTCGTAAAACAATAAGTAAGGAGACTCCTCCGAAACACGTTCAGGCGTAGTTTCCTTAATTCAGTAATTCATAGAGAAGTAATCGTCAAGATCCAAATTCAATAAATTGTTAATATTACTCATCAATCGATCATAATTCTTAATACCTTGCAACTACTGTCGTTAAAAATGTACCATTTATTATTCGGATTTTTCGCAAACGATACGTAATGGCCGCCGCCAAGTATTCCCGAGTGACTCTAATTACGTCAATAAAATAATAATTCATAGTTTACTAAAATATAAACAGTACGCGTATGGGGTATATCGTGAATACCTACCGCTATTGCGTAAAGATTATACAGCGGACGCTTTTCAATACCACTCGTGGCACCTTCAACTGAAATTTCAGCTGCATCGTCAGCTTTAATGTGATTCGTATCATTGCATTCACTATCTTTTTCTTTATCATCGTTTTCTTTTACGTTATCTTTTACTTCGTTACGTAAGTCGTTATTGTCAACAGATTGCTCATTATCGCTAGTTATTGTCTCTGAAACTTCAAGTATTTCGTTTGAGTCAAGATTAGCATCGGATGTACTTGGCGATTCTACATTTGCATCTGATCCACTACCATGGGAATTATGCATTGTATCTTCATTGTTATGCTCTTCCGATGTTAATTTTTCAGTATTAGCGTTCGGATTGTGACTGTCTGCTAAAGATATAATTTCAGAACTTGCAAATGTTGCTTTGTAAGAATCATCATGTCCGACCACGTATTTATATGGATCCATATTCATAAGCGGGAATTTAACATTCTTCTGCGATTTGATCCAACGACCCGCAACAAACTGAAATCGTTTCATGTGTACAATCTATAGCATTATGGAACTCAATAAGTTAGATTTCATATAATATTATTTCTTAAAATATGTGAGACAACAGACAAAGAATCACTATAGTAACTTAATTACCAGTATAGGAGGGAGTTTCCATATTTCTAGCTTCTTAGTAGCTACTCGATGTTGCTTGCATTTTGAACAATACCTTTGTTACATAGTTATACCGCGATATCATGTAGGACATAAAAAAAATAAAATATGATATCTGTTAAATATATTTGCAAATCTTTTACTTCCATTCTTTGCTAGTAAATATACCATGATTCATCTTCTCCAAGCTCTTCTTCTGATGTAAACGCTCTTAAACATTTATCTAAGTCGATAGGCTGAGAAAGTTGCTGACGGCTAATCTCAACGCTTTCGTGACAGATTGGCTATGACAAATTTAAGTAACGTATAGTTATTTACATATTACGGCAACTTATTACAGTAGCGTTCATCACATCGAACAATATTTCGCTTTACCTTTTCCTGTGACGACTGATAGCGAAGATGTAGAGCAGTTGGATCCCAATCAATAGCTAAATATCCACTCTTATAGTTAAATTTTTCATCATTACATTCTAATTTGCAACCATGACAAAATCTAAATAACAAGTTCATGAAGGTTGCTGTTAATATGACATCTTTGTATAGAATTACTATAATTAAAATCATAACTTTACTTCTGCCATGAACATTGGGCGCAACCATATCCGTCTTTCTGCACAATCTTCAGTTCAAATGGGTACATCGAAGATCCACTCAGACTACTACAAAACACAATGGGAATTTGTTAAGCTAATATATAGTGTAGTTTTCTTGTGAAATGAATTTTAGAGGTATACCTTCTAGAACTGCCGCCGTTACGTTCTACAGGAGTAACCAATCGCTGAACTTGCACCCAAACAAAAGCATATAGATCTGAATTTAAAGTATTCGGTTGGCAAGATATTATTACAGGCACTCCGAATAGACCAGGCAACTGAGATTGCCAAGCTAGGTAATACACATCCATTCTCATCTAAATAATACAAATACATAATGATGAGAAATGAAATTTACGCTAAATAAATTCAAATTTATCATAGTACGTTACCATTTTACGATTCATTGCTACAACATAATTGCCATGAGGAAATTTTATCGCTTCATGACCGCTACTATCATCAATAGATGGGCTGCTTGAAGTGCAATCAAAAATTATACCCCTATCTTTTGAAATTTTTGTCACATCATGATCGCTATCATTGCTTGATAAAGGATCATCTGCAGTAGGAATGAGCTCGTTCTTACAACTGGAGGATGTTGCTTCTTCACTATCCACATCTGTAATATCATTGGTTGATTTATCGTCAATCTCATTGGTTGATTTATTGTCGATCTCATTGGTTGCCTCTGGTGATGAGGCTTCAACTACCTCTACAACTGTAGGCGATGAAGAGAAAGATTCGTCTACTGGAAGATCAATCTCGTAAATGTATAATAAACCCATAAAACCAGAGCGAATTTTTTCTGTATCTAATACGAAATTTTTAACTTGAGCACCAAAAAGCTCAACTAACAACATTTGGGATGGCTCCAGTTGGGTATAATCCATCAATGCTACTTTTACGTCATAGTATCTTCCTTCGCTATTTAAACAAAGACCATACTTCGTATGAGTAGAACCATCCATATTTACAACAGTAACCTCTATAAAGATACTATTATCCATTGGTAATGGTAAGGATAGAAATGTAAAAGGATCAAATGTGACACTAGCATGATCGCAAGTTTTGCATGCGACAGCACTCCTTAATTGACCATGAAATAGATCAACAACGATAGACTTGTTACGCTTGATATGGTTTTCCCAGGCTTCCAGAGCTACTTCTTCATCGCTTCTACCATCACTATCTTTCAGCTCTACATATGGCTTATCGTGTACACGATTGAGGTCTTCGTGTAATCCATCCAAAAGGAAGCTAAGTAATTCTTGAGAATCTTGCTGTTGAAAGCCATTAAATCTTGGAGCGTACTTACAGATAGTAAGCCTCATCTTTAACGGTACAAATGATCGCGTATTGCCACTCCATAATTCCTGAATTAATTCCCCATAACGCTTAGCAATAATACCTTTCATTCCTAAAGGATTTACACGATTGATTTCGTGTAGATGAGCTTGCTTTACAAAATATTTAGTTAGGGCTTGAGTGTTGCTAACGCATTGCAACGCAGAATTCATGAAACAAGTATTGCCCATATTGCTCAACCCTGTAACACCTTTCTCTGTTTTTGCAACAATCCGCATATCCTTTTCTTTACCTCGCTTGGCAAGTTGATACATCTCTTCTGGCCAAGTCATATCAATATTTCGAACTTCAATAAGGACTTGTTGGCCGTCTTCTAACTTCAACTCTTCTATTGTAGCCTGCTCATCTTCTAATAATTGTGGATAATCTTCATTGCTATAGTTCCATAAGCGAAGGTCCTCCACTTTCATCCTTAATCGAGCACCTAGAAATTCAAGGACTTGCTTTAAAGTGTTCTTACGACTGTAGCATGCGGTATAAGCTAGGTATTTTCTTGGAATTGATTCATTCGTATTGACAGAAGCTACTCCAAAACCACCGAAACCACCAAATGTTATTCCAGAAAATCCGGTGACGGTTGACCATAGGCTTGAAGAATTGCTATTTCGATTTGGTGAGGTATGCCTTAAAATTTTAACACAAATCGGATATAATTCTAATTCGGCTTTTCCATCTTTGTTGGTAGTAACCTGTGACAATTTAATGGCATGTTAAAGATACATTATATATATCCGTTCAAAAATTGGGCTCGAGTATCTTTGGTATACCCAAATAAGAATGCGATGATATCCTTGAAAATCAAAAATTAACTTACATGTCTAGGTAGCGATAAGTTACAACCATACCACTGACATAGCGCTTTGAATACAGCCTCTGGAAGTAGTTGATAATCACGTCTAGGTATAAGGTTGACGTTCTTTTTTAATCTTCCCCCTTCATTTGTTAGTGTGGGGATCTATGATGGTCAGAAAATAAACGTAAAGATTAATTTTGTAGGTTAACGAATCATTCATTCATTAAAACGTGTATATCTAAAATATTCTGATACTCACTCTCCTATTGGGCGATTCAACAAGGCATAGATTATCAATAAGCCCAGGAGCTGGTAGGATACCATTTAGATTAACAGGGCGTTGATTAAATGTTTGTGATGAATGTGATTTACTATATAAAGATAGTCATTACATATAGTTAGTAAACTAGCATATAACAAGAAATTGATGTTTATAACGTCAAATATATCTAACCTTAAAGGTCGATTATTAGCAGGATTTCCTAAACATTGATCAAAAGGGAATAAATACCTTAGTATTAAGCAATTCCAATATTAAATAAAAACTGTGAATATTTTTACCGTTCCGATTAAGTGGAGGCATACTCAATTTGCTTGATGACAAAGCTTTGGTATGGTTGCTCTGTTTCTATTAAACGATAACATAAGTATATTAAAGAACTATACGCTGTCGAAATTTTTTATTTATGCACGGAACACGATACAGTATTACATAATAGTTCTTCTACTTACACTTGCTCCAACATATTCCAACCAGTTTCGCCACCATGACATTGAAACTAGATACCATATGTCATTCGATTTAAAGCCATGACGATTAGCTCGATCAAGCCAACCCCTAGTAACAACCAACATAATGCATTTAGCTACAATTATCGTAGCTGTAAATTCTAAATCTAAAAAGTATTCAGATTGTAACTTACACGATTACTTGCTTTTCTTTTTCTCGCGTAAGTGGTAATACCCCTAGAACTATGTGACCAACCTATAGAAGAAAAGATTATTGAGTGTTAATTACAACTATAAGCTGAAGTACATGGTGCCAGCTTTACCGTAACTTTCATAGAATTTCTTAACTACTATCAATATCAAAATATACCTGTTGCAGCAGACTCTGTAGTTCTTTTGTATATTGGCTAGTTATCATCCAGAGGTGAAATTCTTCAATTGTAATGCAATCATCCTAATTAAGTGTGATCATCAAAAATATATTATTAAGGTATGCATTATAAATATGAACATCCATTTTCCATTGGGATAGTATTACAACTGATTAAAGCTGTAATGTAAATTGGACTGATATTAGTTACAAACCTCATCACTATCGTAGTGATGTAAAATCTCAGTAACCATGGATTTTGCAGTTTCTCGTAAGCTATCTACAGGCTAAAGCATTTATGAGAAAGTTGAGTTGAGAAGAGCGCATAACTAAATATAATCAATGCTTTTGCGTTACTTTTGGATTAGGGGACGCCGAACGTTCACGAATTTCCAATAACACTAATGCCATATCACAGAGTTCACTTTTAGACAGGAGATCATCATGATCAACGTCAAAGATTTGAAAGCAAACTAAAAATGAAAAGCAACGACTATAACACGGATTGTACTCTTTAACATACAATATAATATAATTAGTTCATACATTTTCGCTTTTCGTTATGCGGCCCTCGGCACAACGATGATAGTCCACAAACCATCTCTTTAAAATCGATATGGCCATCATCATTTTCATCAAATGCAGTGAAAAGCCCTATCGTGTCATCGCAACAAAGCATATACGATATTAATTTTCGAGTACAACATTTACTGATAAGTGAGTAAAATTTAGGTAACGATAGAGCGTAAAAGGCTGAGTTGAATATAATACAGATAGCGATCATAATATTCAAGTATACAAAATAGAAGTTACTTTGGAATAGTTAACAGCTGAATAACGTACCTTTAGTTAAAGATTCAGGAAGTGGAGGGCAAACAAAGCGACTAAAGGTCTCTAGATCGAATTTGCCAGATTTAGAGCAGTTTTTTAGAGCCCAGTATTTTTTTTCCAGTTCCATAACGTCCTTTTCCGTAACTAAGAGAGGTAAAGCATCAAAGGCAGCATTTTTATTCACCTATACTATTGTGATTATCTTACCTACTAAGAGAAATAGCAGTGAAAACCAAAAATTACTTACAATGAGTGATACTTGCTACTGATTGATAAAATGTTGGTGTAGCACTTGTATCAGTGAGTGTTATTTTGCTATTATCATATAGTAGCCAAGATGACAGTTGTATGGCTTTGGGATTAAGAGATATCCATTGATAGAATTGATCGAAGGTAATTCTATCTCCCTTTACAAAAATAACATATAATATTACGTACAGATTTAAGTTACTTTAGCTTTGCTATTGTAGTTAATCGCTAAAAATGTAAGTCAATCTCTGATTACTTCGCTAGTAATTTACTCATGCATATTAAAATTTATGAAGCACCATACGAACTACTGTATAGTTGTAATAATAAATATAGTTAACAAAGTGTGTAATACCTCTCCTTAAAAATTTCACTTATGTGCTGTACAGTGCCTGCTCGGTATCACTGTACTCTTTTTATTAAAGATTTTTTGACTTACATGTGAGAAATTACGAAACATCGAATCAGGAACATGGGAATCGCAAGCTTTAATAGTATTTTCCAAGTAGTATTTAGATATACTAGAACCGCCATCAGTGTTGAACGCATTGAAAATAACTACATCGACGATTAAAAAGGGAGTTCTAATGAGATTACAGCTTAGAAGTAATTAGTCAACTTACATATATAATTATATCAATTTACACCAGTTAATGGTTACGGGCTGTAGTTACATAAATTAGGCTAACGCAATTAAAGCGTACGACATAAAAAAGAATGTTGAATATGTAAATGGTCAAATACAAACATTTAGTTCTTTCTTCATGACTCCCTTGCGTGATGACCAGTAAACCACTCAATAGATCTTTAAAATGGATTCCCTTGCTAGTCCCACCAAAAGCAATGTACATCAACTGGTAAAAATTAAAAATTTGATCGCTTAAGTCAGTCTTTACTGTAATCATAGCGATTGTAATTACTGATGTAAAAATAGATTAAAGCTATCAATTTATAAATGTTGTGCATGTCGCCATTTACCAGAGAAATTAATTTTCACTTCATTTTCATTTAATATAGCTCATTACATTCAATACTTTCACGGCTAAGGAAGCAATAAGTGAATGTCGCGTCAATCCCGCCGAAATATGCAACAAATCGCCCATAAGGTAACAATTTAGTATGACTCAACGGGTATCTATGATGGCATCTTAACTCGTAATTTTAAGATGTAAGTTGTAATCCGGAATTATATACAAAATCAAGATATCGTAAATATTCCATTTTGATAACAACGTTGATCGTAATCAATTGACAATTTATACATACAGTATACTGTAGGAACGAAAGGGCTAAGGAAATTGAACTAGATACTGTAGTATTGCAATACAGTAGAAGACTCGACGTTAACTATCATCATCACTACATAAAAATGTTAATCCATGAAATAACCCCTTTTTTTAAATCATAATCTATATCTTTAATTCTTGTTACATAAATTTTGTATCGATACTTGTGTTAAACAATGTCTATTCTTGAGAAATGACTGTTACTTGAGCGTAGGGGACTGGCATAACTGACATTACAATCAAGGACAAAAATGACTTTTTTATCATCATTTGTACTTCAATAAAAGTTATAATCCTTGATAAATTAAGCCACTATAGTCACTAAGGGGCGCTCATTTGTTAGCAACCCGATCCTAACTAGAAAAACTAGAATTGATGATTACTTGTATACAATCCATTGCATATTGAACATCATTAAGATATTAACCGTATACTAAAAACGATGATTATTGTATGATACAGTAGTATATTTTAGCCTCGTACAATAAATTGAATGTTGTCCAATAACTATTCTTGCCTATGATGTTATGGTATAAGAATATCAATATATCATCACTATTGGGCTTTGCTATTCAGGATCTATTTGTTGCAGGTAATTGCTATTAGCAGACCACCACAGCATGGTCGCTACGATGAGCCTATGATGTCATCATATACCGTAACTTGGTCTCTCGAATGAAAGTAGAGTCGAGGGAATCTTTAGAAACGACAGTTTACGAGCAATCATTATATGTAACTACACTACAGTATAGAGTAGTAAAAAAAACCATGTCCAATTAAGTGAAGACAATTTTCTTTTGGGTCATTTTTCATCGGATTATCCAATGATGTTGAAAAATAGGGATTAATCATATCAGCTTGTAGAGTAGACAGGGCATTATAATATTATTACTATTATTATTATTATTATATATAGAATAATGAATATGATCAACTTTTAACGGATAGTTATCGGTTGTTGTAATAAAACTAAACTAACTACCTCTGCTGTACTCGAATAATCAAGAATACAGTACTGTATATAGCAATGACTGTACGCATAAGCTATAAACATTTATCATCCTGATGCATATTAATACAATCGAGTGAATTTCACACGGGGAGAGGAAGAATCGATCGATCGATCGATCGTGTGATAAACATGTAGTAAAGACAATTTAGCTTATAGTATTTCATTCAAATTAACTAAAGAATAGTTTGGTGTCATGATAAAGTAGGCGATTAAGCATCCACTAAAAGTCACTGTAATACATTACGCCATCATTGCTGTATTTCAACGATAGCAATGATGCCTAGCTGGTCAAGATTTAGACACTGTTCTTGCGGACATTGACTTTGACGGGTATTGACGTAATACAGTAGCAGTGAATGATAGAAAATAGGGTTATAAAAAATGAAGTTATTTGGTTGATTCTTACCTCGGCAATATTGGATGGTACAGCATCGCCCAAGACATCACGCATAAAAGAAGATTTGCTAATAAATCCGGAACTACCGCCTGAGCGCTTAAAAGCACTTTTAATTCTTTTCAGATCAGCTTCGTTGACTGTCGGTCAAGAGATTGGTAAATAGGGTTAGCTCGTGTTATGTACAGTGTCTACTATAGAATTACAATCAAAGGAATTGAAGGATAAAGTAGTTGTCTCTCAAACTATTGCGTCGAGTATAAAATGATCTCCATGCTAATCATGATGATCAAATCGACGACTTGAATAAGATACACAGTAGCTCTCACTACTTTTTCCATTTCAACGAGTATGGGAATAATATTGTTGTGAATTTTTGATGCGCTCTTTCATTGACGTCATACAATGACAGTCTACTGTATGATACAATGCTATCCATGTTATAGATATCTATATAGGCTTTGAAAGAAGCGATAGAAATGAAGATATGACACACCTCGTTTCGTGGCTTCTTCCCAATTAAAGTAGAACTGTTTCGACTCTTTTAAACCCATCGCTTGAAAGTTTGATCCAATATTTTTCAATGAATATAGCGTTAAAGGACTTAATTAAATCAAAATATCCAACCAAAATTACGCCAGCGTCGACTTGCAAGTAGAAACACATGCAAATTTTTAACTTTTAATTTTAACATGGATATCCATAACACAAGGCAAGGCGCTCACATGAACACAGATTGAACATGAACTAATACTAAAACACCTTGGACTGGTGTAGCAGTTGTAGCCAGGCTGTATGACACCACCGACGACTGTATCGCCGTACAAAGCGCAGTCCAGTATAGCTAGTATGCGCACGATGTAGTAGCCTTCAACAGAGACTTTTATAGGAGAAAAATTCCCTGCCTTCAACCACCAGTGGGGTTGATGGTTGCAATGACGCTATTGTCAAGTTATATGCACAGTTCTAACAGGATCTCTATACAGTATACCTAGGCCCGACTTTTCTTTCTGTCGTTTAGTTCTTTCACTTGATAACCTGTCCACCTATTACAAACTACTATATACTTTTCTTCAACTACGACATTGGTAACGGACTTCCAATAATGCTACTACAGTACCATACAGTCGGTCAATTCTTGACGCGTGGACTGATGCTGAGAAAAATGAATGTCACTGTAGTGTATCTGCAGTTGTACACTATACCATACTAGGGACAGTACTTTTCCCGACCATGACAGTAACTTAAGTTAAAACATGGCAACGATTACTGTACGCAGTCTACAGTACTGTACTGTAGTGTAAAGTACCGTACACTGTAAAGTACAGTACTGTGTACTGTACTAGTGTCTCCCGATATTGTACTGTACTGTCCACGTGTACTGTACACACAGTGTACAGTACGCTTAAACGACTGTACTGTACTGGATTGTGTACTGTACACGGTAGCCGGTAGGTTTCTCAGTTTTTAATTACTGTCACTTTGTTGGTATCGAGTGGCATCCGATCGTTCGTCTTGACATTTTTGGCCGAGCCTTGAAATCGAATTGGAATATTTTACATAGCATTCCTTGGATGACTGCAAAGAGTGAACAGTAAGTCAATGCACAAATATGGATTCTAATGAAGATCGACTACCGACAGGACAGACTTTCCATGACCTCACTGTGGTAGAATTACGTCGTCAACTACGTGCTCGTGGATTGAAAGTCGTAGGTCGTAAAGCAGACTTGGTAGGTGCTTTTTCTTTGCGTGACCAAGTTTTACAAATGCCTGATAGAAATCGAGAACCGCGTGTCATCAGTATAATCTTAGCCATGAATAACAGTGATTCATCATAATGATTACATTAAACAATGTAGGCAGAAAAGTTCAATTTAGCAGCTCACTATAGCATATGTCGCCATAGAAGTTGATCACTAATCACTTGTGTGCGTACATACTGTACATTGCATGTCTGTACTGTACAATATGTATACGTACGCCTATACAGTATACTGTTCGTTGTATAGTGTACATTTTTAGTGTTCACTGTCAGTACGGTATGCGCTGCAGCACTGTGCTGTATTGTGCATGAAATATGTCTACGTGTGCACAGCAGCTTGGCTACGTCATGCCTACTTCGGTTAAGAGGAAAATTTTGAAAGTTTTATCAAGCCATTGAATGATTCAGCGACTTCGCATATCTTATTTCACATATTATCTATCATACACTACTGTGAGCCTGCGGGGACATACAATTATGCGTTAAATTACTGTAGGCTTTGAGAATGTACAATAATAATACTACATCAGTGAAACGTTGGTTCCTTTGTGTTGATCATTTGCTTTCATTGAAATTTCCTACATATACGTACGTATAAACGCAAACGATTCTATGTACCTTGGATCTCTCAACGAAGTTAATAACTGCTACATTATAATTATATACAGTACATTAATGAATACTGTACTGTACTCTGTCTTGGGAAAAGTTCAAGTTCGTACTTATCGTTAGCCTACATATACAGTACAATACGCTACAGATGCTTGTTCCAAGTCAGTATTCGCATCCCGTATACTGTACTGTACTATATGCAAATATCAAATGGTCAGTAGATTTCGCTGACTAGACTAAAGATAGCAAGATTTATTAGCAATCCATTTACTCACTGTCTCATACTAACTATACTCAAGCGAACATTAGGGTAAGGGATATAGTCGATTTATCAACGTAGTCTACTGAGTATTCAAGATCCTCCTCTATGTCATACTCCACCAACTTTTACAGTATATGCAGAAATTCTGCAGCTTTCTGCTGACGTGCCTACACTATTGCTTGATTTCGCAGTGCAGTACTGTATGATGAATTTATGTATCAAACACATAGTTTCAATTAGTATGATTTGTGTAATATAAGCCTGTCTTTTAGAATAATTTGATTCATGAATTAATCTGGGATCGATCAATTAAGTTAATAATAAAGCCTTAAAATCGTTTACATGTCGTATCCATATTTCGAACAAGTCCCAATGAATTAATTATCTACCTGATTACAGTACTGTGGGCACACAGACTTGCAGATGTACGGACAGTAGACGTCATTGCCAACTCATGATTTCATGATTATGGGAGATTACAGTATTTAGTACTGTAGTCCATACAGTACAACAGAACATACTGTACAGTACGGTTACAGAGACAGTACTGTACTGATGCCGCTACTGCGTAGAAACAGAAATGTGTTGCTACAGTACGGTACTGCACCAACAGGAACACGCAGACTTGAAGAGTCTGTGGACATGTTACCTATAATACAGTACAGTATACTACACTACGCAGTGAGTAATAACAATACAGTATGAACAGTACCGTACTTTTTAGAGGAGACGGCAAATGCTTTCATTAACTGTAAGTTAAATATAGCGGGCGGGTGTGATCTGATTGGCCTTGTATTACTTCGGATTGTCGGTGGATTGATCGATGATCGAGCAATAGGTTCCATTAACGTATTACTACGGTTTATTATTTCATTTAATCACTTAAACTGAAAGTGTAAAATAAAATTTTCTTATGGAAATGATTCAGTAAATTAATTACAGTATGTATGTATCAAGCTATCTTTGGGAGGGAGTCATTCACTCTACAAGTAAGTGCAGTAGTGTAAATTGTACGCTATTTGGTGCACACTCTTTCAATGCAATGCAATGCCGGCTATAGTCATTGCGTTTATCTGCAAGTCACTGATGTGTTCAATCAGTTCCTTCATTTGTCCCTAAATTTATAGAAACTAAAATGTTAACATATTGTCCACTATTTGATAATTTTAGGTACGACGTTTAACTGAAACCGATGCAGAAGTTAGTACAGATCGAAAGGAAAGGTAAAGACGAATGTACATCCTATCATACCGACAGCAGCATTGTACGAATTTTATGAACTAGTAATCCATGTTCTATAGTTCAGAAATAGCTTGCACAGTTAGATTACCAACCTTTAAATATTTACCCTATAATTTTGAGTTCATTTAATGTAAGAGAAAGGTATCTAGATTTGTTTTACTACATACTCGCATAACATAAATCAATATGTGTTGTTGTAATGGCTGCTTCCGTGTAGAGTAGGTAACTTATAGTATATAGTACATTTATTGTCCTATCAATTATTGGAAGATTTTGATACGGATGGTAGGGTACTGTATATCATAGACTACTCTACACTGACATATTTCGCAATTGAGAAATAAATTTCATTTTTTATTTAATGATATATTGATGTGATAGGTGTATTATCTGTAATTAAGTTGTACTGTCCTTTTGTTGTCATTCATACGAGCGACAGTGACTGAGGACGATGTACAGTAATTTCATAAACAGTGAATATTTATATTCCTTTTACGTCTAAAAGATGAATATTTTGTAAACATCTTGAATCAACTCGGTATCCTACGCTTGTATACTTATATAATTTCGCAAGACAACTTTCAGTTAACGAGGTTGTTTATAAAGTATTACCTTTAAGCCTTTTCACTACTTTTCCTATTTTAGACCAGAAGAAGAATCCACAAATATGTCCGAGCCTATTAAAATACCTATCAGAGGTTATTCATGACTAACATAATTTTTTTCTTAAATATGGATGAATATTATAATAGTCCAAGCGCTAGCTACATAACTATTAAGTCGTAGAAGAAACGATTGAAAATAGCATTCGTTCTGTATTACTTTAATGCGAATACAATAGGTACACAGTAGAGACCCTAAGAGACTCAGCCTCTCAGGATTTCTAGCGTACAGTACCATAATAAAGATTAGCTTCTTTTTGTATAACTCTGCCTTACGCGCAATACAGACATCAGCAGTTGATATTTTTGGTAACTAAAAGTAATCGTTGATGTCTTCAACTTATGCACCAATAGAGACCAAAGATCATAATGGAAAGGTACCTCCATCTCCTTTCCTTACTCGTAGCCAGGAAGAACGAGAGGAACTACATAGGGAAAGAGAAAAACGCGCCGAGATCGTTCTATGGAGAAAGCCACTAGTGACATTATCTTATTTCTTTCGTGAACTTTTTATAGATATCCGTCATCAAAGCAACAGGTTGTATTAGTGGTGCAGTTTTATTTTACGAAGTATAATGTACCAATCGGTGTTTTTTTAATTACGATTTTTTCTAATTATATCAATAAAACTTAGGGTTTATCATAATCGAAAAAAATTCAGTGCAATTGGTCTAATGATCTTTAGCTTATTTCTATTGTATTTAATTGATGGCGAGCATCAGCAGGTACGTCTAATGCAATCTTTCTAATATTGAAGATAAAGTTGACCATTTGTTTTATTCCAGTATTACGTAGCTGCTCAGAAACAGATTTTCTGGTGTTTCTACTGGATTGGTTTAGGAGTGTTGTCAAGTATTGGCCTTGGAACAGGATTGCATACGTTCATATTATATCTTGTAAGTTTTGTTTTAAATTCTCCTGAAGTATGCCGGGGCTTCATATTTTTTTAATATTTATCGTTTAGGGACCTCATATAGCTAGAGTAACTCTTGCAGCTTGGGAATGTGGAAGTGTAGATTTCCCTGAGCCTCCTTATCCGAATGAGTATGCTGTACTTTTATCAAATATAAAATATTACTATTAATTATTAATACTAGTTATTTGCTCGTCAAGTATTATATGTCCTGATGAAGAGGGCGACAAGAACTTGCTAACACTTTGGACCATCATGGGGAAAGTTAGATTAGAATCGATGATGTGGGTTAGTAAGACAAAACTCTATGAACTACATTGTATCGCAATTATTATACTGACACAGCTATTGTTGTGTTGTTTGGCGTATTACCGAAGTCTTTGCACCCTGTGACTTTATTTTAATTGGGCGTAAATGCTTTAGGGATTAGGAACAGCGGTTGGAGAATTGCCTCCCTACTTCATGGCTCGTGCGGGTAAATTAAGTATAAATTTCATCCTTGAATCGGATGTTTTGTTAAGTAGTTAGTTGTTATATTTAAATTTTTGTGCTATAGCGCGATTATCAGGATCAGAGATTGATATGGACGACGAGGAGATAGAAGAGATGGAAGCTATGCTAGCATCTGAGAACAAGGTAATTGGTACTGTGTGGTATAATAATCCGTTAAATTATCTAATTTTAACGTTCAGTTTTAATGATCAGTGTTCTGTTCTCTGCAGGATGTGATGACTAGAGTCAAGAAAGCAGTTCACAATTTAGTCCAAAAAGCTGGATTTTTTGGCATACTTTTATGTGCCTCGGTAAATAGTGTCATCCATAGAAAGCAATTTTTACATGTACTTTTTAGATTTTTAATAGTAGCTAATGTTATCATCGTTTGAAGATCCCCAATCCGTTATTTGATTTGGCTGGTATTACTTGCGGACACTTCTTGGTGCCATTTTGGACATTTTTTGGCGCAACTGCTATTGGTAAAGCTATCGTGAAGATGCATATACAGGTTATTACTCTATATACGATGACGTAACGTTAAGTTGCACTTATGACACGTCATTCCGTTTTTAATTATATCCTTTGAAATTGCTTTAACGGTTGTGCTTAACTTTAGAAACTGCTGGTTATTGTAACCTTCTCAAATCATCATGTCGAAAGTTTAACTGAAATAATTGGGTAAGTAAAATGTTACAATACAGATTTGTCATCGAATCCAAGTTATTACATAAGAGTGTATTTTTTAGTTACTAATAGCGGTTGTTTTCGGATACTAGGAATATCCCTCACGTTGGCAATACTCTTAAAAAGCCTTTCGTTGACTATATCGATCATCAGAAACATAAATTACACCGCGAGGAAAATTCGATGGACTCACCGGTATTTTTAATTTGTTTACTAGTAGTGCGCAATCTAAATTTCTGTTAGAGTCTATCTTTCTTTCGATGTTTATATTAAGTTGATTCTTTTTCTATTATCAAAAGTCAAACCTTGTTACGCAATTATATTCTGTTTTGGTCATCTTCATGGTATCATTCTTTGCTTTATCAATCGTAAATTCGATGGCACAAAAGTATGCTAAAAGGTTGGATGACGAGAGACGTTATAAAGTAAAAGATAAATAAAAAGTGGATAAGTGAAAAGGAACCGAAACCAATGGATTGTTTGACTCAAATAAATCATATTTTTGTATTATGCTTGAAGATTGATTTCTTTTTATTTAACATTTAGTATGGTACTTGATTAACTTAACATGTTGATTAATATTTTCTTGTTGCGACGAGCACATCAATCATTTGGTGGCAACGAGACCGCTGTTCCGCTGTTAGCAGCTAGTAAATCTAATACCATGTTTGTTGTATTACAAGTCTACTATGTATAGTTTTATGTATTACCGTATTTATATTACTAAGTAACTGGTACGGTACTAGGTTGTTTTCCTATTGTTTTATTTTTCGTCATCAAAAGGTGATATAGCCTCTCAACCTGTAAAAATATCATGGTTCTTGGAGTATGTACTATGTGGCAATTTTTCGATAGTTATACGCTCTTATGGTCATTTGTGACATAGATACACGTATTGTTATCGTACAGTCGAATAATTTTAACTTAAGAACCTAATCGCTGAAATGTACGTATAACATGTGAAGGCTGTATTTATTCTTGCAAAAAGAGATCATATCAAGTTTTTTAATACTGACTTTAACAATTTCATTTCGCTATTAGTAACAGGTAGTATCATAAATTTACAATTTAGCAGTAAATTAATGTCTCAATATTTATTTAGCATTTATTCTACCTAGTTATGGATGTATAGTAAAATTAACTATTGTTAATGAATCTATATCGGCATTTAAGTTCCGTTATTACCTTTATTTTAATTTTTTGTTTGATTCTGTTTGGTTATGATTTGTACGGTACCGCTGTATAATAGTATCCATAAACTTGATTCATCAGTCTTATGGGATGAAGCGTTTGTGTGTTGGCATTTGCGTTATAAATTCATGCATGGTAAAATATTCACACATATTTCAAAGTGTGATATATATACAGAGCAAACAGTGACATGTATCAAGGTTTGGATATGCTACCACTGTAGGAATGCGACTGCAGGAATACTGTACATAACAGACATGACAGGTGCATCGTTTACGTTACAATATTACTTTACCTTCAAATGCAGTCTTGGAAGTTACGAAGTTATCATGAATTCATCCTTGATTATGGCTCAGCCATATCCAGTATACTGTATACTAAGTTCTTACTTTTGTAGTAACTCTCGACTGATTCATTAATTAGAATTATTAATGATACACTAGACACTAGCTAGATATTAGGAAGAACTTATTTTTACCTGCTACGAGTTCACTTTAGTGGACTGTATGAGATCCTGAAATGTCCAAAAGCTGTACAGTGCGTATTGCACTCGGTACAAATACAATACACATTTCGCTACTGTAAACTGGACCTGCGACCTAGTGTATAGTATATAACAGGGTCGTATCTCTTACATACAGTTATGGACTACTAATTAATATGGTATTATTGACACATTTGTGATACAATATGTCAAAACGTGCAAGTGTGCAGAAACCCTACAAAGCATCTGGTTAAGGCAAGGGCTACTGCAAGAGAACCATCGCGAAGAACATCAAGAATTGAGAAGATCTTGTCGATTTTGATGCTCGTGTACCCCCCTGTATCTTCTATAGCTAAAAATATTAGAATAAAATAGTCTGTAGACAATTTGCCGTCATATGTGAACTTACTGAAAATAAAAAGAGTTCTAATCTGACCTTAGTTTTAGTTTTAATCATCGCAAGAAGCATGGAAGTAAAATTAAGTACAAGCTAAATTATCATACAAATAATATTGCAGGTATGAGAATAGCAAATTCATCCTTTAGATCAACTGTATTGACGCAAACTTGATTCACTGAAAGCTTAATTGAACTCGTATTGTAATGATTACAGAGTAATACCATAAAGATTTCGATAAAGATGCTACCTGTACGTGTATATCTGGCAGCAACGCCTGGATGGAGAACGCTGATTACTGTTGCACGCTATACACGTTGTTGCAACTTACGGACTCAACCGGTAAGAGATTAAGATACGCGTATCTACTCCACTCTTATTCCAACGTAATATTTCAATGCCTTCCTTAATTGTAGTCGCATAGCTTAACGGTGTTTGCAACGTCTTGTGGATTTATGTGACTTCACCAGCATATAATCGCAAAACGAAATAATCATTTGTTATTGATATTAAACTATTTTAACTTGTACTACTCTTGACAGTGACGTACATTGTAAAGTAAGTAGTATTATGGGTGCTGTACTATCAATGGATTGCAACATAATGACATCGTGAAAGTTCTCTCAGTTCTCCGCTGAATTGAACGGTAGATATAAGTCTAAGACTTACGTTGGAGAAATAAATATTTTCTGTAGACGCATGTAATTAATTATTGCATATTATAAAGAAGTATACGGTATATAGCATGCAACATCAGATAATGATAGCTTGTAAGCAATAATTATTGTACGCTTAATTGAGCCATGTGATTAAACTCGCTGAAGGATGGTACGCGAGCAAAGAATATTGTAATAGTGCAGAGATGCAATTTTTACTGACGAATCTTTTATATGCAATTTCATCTTGAACTTTATAAGTTTTCGCTACTAGGTACTTTTTACGGTGTGTATTTGATCTACTCTAAACAGCATATTAATTTTTTAGTTAAAAGACAGCTTAACAAGACATAGCCAAAATATGACAACATCACATTCACGGAGGTTATGCAGTACTGTAATAAATAGCGATGACGAGGCTAAAATTTCCGATGAAAGAACTATTAATTCAACTCGTACCCGAGCACGAACACATGTAACTCAGAAGAGTCAGCAAAATAAAAATTTGGTTCGTTTCCAGAAGTATTATGTGCCATATAGATCGGATAATGAACTAGCTGTAGTTTACTCCATACAGACTTGAAACTTTGCAGACTATAATTGTTACTGGAAGTAAGATTAAAACTTACTATTGCTTAGCAATAATGTTATTAAATGAGATGAAAAGTAGATTAATTGGATTACATACATTATGGCAATTTGCTTTTTACAAGAAGAAGTAATATCTATAGAATTGTTTCTAAGGACTTGTACGTAGTATACGTACAGTACCTGGTATATAGAAATACTCTGTATTGCTGAGAAATTTGATAAAATGATAAATGAAAATGCTTACTGCTATTCTCTATGTAGAGTTGGGGAAATTAATGATTTACCCTCGTATAATTTCCTATTTTACTGTATAACATCATTATTTACTAGGACCTAATAGAGCCTAAGAAGAGTTCAGTCCGTTATTTCACGTCTTATGCTACTGCAGAAAGATACGATTTAGATGGTTTAAAACGCTATTTACAGGGAACTGACGGTTACTCATTATCTGTATTACCTGAAGGTGAGGCCTAGGATACTTATTTTTATAACAAGATGTTATGCGGTGACTTATTTTATATTGTAAGATTTAAACTAAATTTCAAATAATTATATTAATCATTATGCGATCATGAAATGTAAAGAAGTAGCATGATGTACTATTCGAATAGTAAGCTGTAGATGTAAATAATTGCAATTCTATCAACATATATCTGGAATATTTTGTAGTCTTGAAGCCTATAGGCTATTACAGTTACATTTAGAGTAACTTCGGGTTATTACAGCAGTTATCACGAATTTGCAACACGGCTAATTATTCACATCATGTTAATATTATATGTAATATAACGCTAAAATAGTCTGTAAATTATGAATTAATGTAACCGTGTAATATAAATGAGTAATAGTAAACCTAAGTATAAATTTTATGGCAACGAAGTTCGAGGTATTCCAAGTTTCTGTAATCACGTTTTGTGATTTTTTCATTATTATCACACTTTCAGATGTACAAGATGTTCTACACGTTTGGGTAATCCAAAGGGAACCGTACCATCTTAGCGACAGAAAGGAAGTTTTTCTTTTTCGGTTGGTCATTGTTTAATTACCCATTTTTCCAGCAAATTAATATACAAATTCTTATTGTATCAATTCGGTATCATAATATTGAATTTTATACAATATTTAACAATTTAGGCATGGTTCGAGTGTTTACTGGAATTTTGAATCCAACGAAGTATGACAAATAATGAGTTCATTAATTATAATCGCGATTTTTGATTTAGTTGTTGGGAATTTTTACCACTCTATTGCTATCTCCACTACTATACTATTAAATTCCGACAAAAATGAAGAAACCCAGAAATTAGAAAAATTGACTTGCTCTATCGCGACCGCACTATCTGGTATATTTTAGACTAAATGACTACTGTAATCATTAATCATTCCATTGTCATCAATACCAACAAATACAATAGGAGGAATTGGACTGATGTATCATGTATTATTAATTTCATTCAGTCAAGTTAGCCATTTGGGAAGTTGCTTTGGATAAATATGTATCATCTATACAGTGGGTTCCTGAGGTAAATTTGAATGCAGAATAAATTTTAGTTAATAGTAATAACGTAACTGTAAATGCATTTTTAGGCCCTCCGGGAGGGAAAGAAAGTACGTATGTCGCGAAATGAGATTCTACAAAAGACTGGTGAATTGCTATCACTAAGGTCAGACTGAAGTTGGAAGTTAATTAATTTTAAGCCTTGGTGGGAATTTTTACACACTCATTATCTGCAAGGGAAATATGATTTACATCTAAAAATTTTCACTGCAATACAATATACTTTATTCTAGATACCAAATTAATCTAGCTTCTGATCTTCTAATTATACCGGATTTCTTTTGGGATCGAGATAATTTGGAACAATTATACATTAATCTTTGCACATATCTTGATATGAATGGTAGAACTAAGGTAGCAATTCTCGAAGTAATTCATTGCGTAGCAGAGTCCTAAAGTCGTCGAAATTTTGTATATAATATTTTAGATTGGCTTAGTTTAAAACTATTTTGAATTTTTATTATGTATTTCTGGATTAAGCATTTGAATGAGCCTGTAAATCCTTGTTTAAGTGCATCTACACTATGTAACATATAAACCAAGCTCGTATAAAAAATCGCACAGGATTCCACTTATATACGTAATGAAAACGAGAGATGAAGATGTATATACAAATTCTAAACTTTAGTAGTGTTGTTTGTTTATTCTTGCTAGAGATCATAAAGGTTTTGGATTGTTACAGCTGTATGATTAATTAATCTAAAATATGGTTGTTTTGGGATATTGGTAGGTAATGAATGAAAAACTAAATCACTGTACTGAGTTGGCGGAATTACTAAGGACACATCTTAGCGAGAAACATTCTCTCAGATTAGAATGGGGCATTATCGGTTTAATTGCAATTGAGGTACCAAAAGATTGCAATAGATTATAGATTGTAATACTGGTTATAAGATACGATTATTTAAATTTAAGATTTATAGTAACATAGTCTATTATATAATTGCGTATTTTATATGTTGGCATCTCGTGAATGTACGAAGATATACTAAATCATGACTGTTATTCATATAGGTTTTCTTTGAGATACTACACAATTTAGAACAAATTGTTACTTTTCTTTCCTAAGAAGCCTTTTAAATATTTGGGTATTTCCAGCTATTGCAACTAAACTTAACTAAAAAATAATGTCATTTACAATGGGTATTAATACTTTTAAATTGTAGATTTGAACCTTTTCATTTGTATATTTGATTACAACTTCTATAGTGCTTTAATCGAACAATTTTGAAAAATTTTATGACCAGCATCTTAGCATTGTTAACACTATTTGTACATGCATCATGATCGATATCGAAATTGCTCGAGCGAAACTGATTCGTATTTTAGAGTTGCAGATTAGTTTTTAGGACTATTTATTAAAAATATAAGAATAAAAGCGATGAAGGGGCAATCTGTAGTTACCTATAATTTATCAAATTTTTTTACTTTACGCTTGAGTATGGTTAATGTGCATTACCATTTCCTGTATTGAATTCGCCTGAATTTGATCAATATTATTATCGTAAAGATTGTGTTAAGGAATTGAGTATGAAATTATGGAAGAGATATTGCATTTGTCACTAATAGCAGCACTACTTATTATAACTTGAATTACGTACTAGAGTGCATAGAGAATCTGGTTGACTATTGTCAATGTATGGATCTCAACATTAAACTAGTTAAGGCATAACTCTTTTTTTGGTAGTTTATGGCAAGGATAGTGTTAAGGGAATTACTGCTAATTTTGAATGTTGTACTGCGATAGCGATAGGGTTGGATGACAAATACTTGACTACTAGAAAATGATGATTACAGTGCTTCTAATAGTCTGTGGTTCTGTGTCAGTCGTCACCTTTTGTTATGTAATCGTATCGCAATCTTAAAACTCCGTTTGGAAGCCATGCTCAGGTTTCGTTCAGCCTTCACATCATGTATTTACCCAAATTTATAGCTCTCTTAATATCTATTTCGATGTTGTAATATCTTGATGTGTATATCAGGACAGATATTACGTATACATGCATGGGAAAACTTTTTATCTTGGTATGCCAGTAAAGAGAAACAAGGGATTACAAGCAAATCAAGAGGCAATATACTGTACAGTGCATTCTAAGTTAGAGATCATGGGATTCTACAGTATTGTAGCACTATTCGTACATTCTGAATAGACTGTCTATGCAGACAACATAAAATAGGGTGTCAAAGCATCCTATGCTGTTTATCAGCTACATGCGATTGTAGTCCAGCCTCAAAATTGATTGATTCTATTTTCAATTATACAGTATATTAATATTTGTAGGCTAGATGCCGAGTACAGTAGGTTAGTACTAAAATTTCAGGTCTCTGATTGCAATTTTGCAACTACTAAACTACAGTAGTCCAACCTCAAAGTTGATTGACTCAATTTTAGATTCTATATTAATATTTGTAGGTTAGATACCGAGTACAGTAGGCTAGTACTAATATTTCAGGTCTCTGATTGCAAGTTTACGGCTTGATCCGTTTATCGCCGATTCTCAATCATCTTTCCATCTGCTCTCCTATATTTTCTCGCTCCTTCTTCCCTTGAACTTATAGCTATAGATATACTGTACTCAAAAAAATACAGCAAACAGTTCTTTTTAGTAGTCCATGATTCACTCACAATATACCGAGAATCTGCAACTTGTAGTTTTCATATTCAAAAGTTTTTACACGACCGTACAGTACCGTACAGTACATCTCGTTCAGCACAGTACACACTGTACTGTACTGAAAATACTGTACTGTACTGTACACCGTACGGTACAGTACCGTATTTTTCTTACCTACAGTACTGTACAGTACTGTACACTTGTACAGTATGTCCCGAAAGTTCTGTGCGGTAACCTTGGTACCGTCCATCCTGAATGTTATTATTAGTTCAAACTACAACTCGAGTTGATTCTAATCCTTAATTCTAAATTATTTGCCTGCTGCCGGTCAAATTTGAACACCCAGTGGAACTAATTGTTGTATTAGTTTTATGTCTTACTCCATCACATTTTACAAGGACTATGTTTGGCTCACAATCACGTTCAACGAAAACCGATGTTGTCGATAAGGCTAGAGCCGCTAGAGCCGAAAGAGCTTTGGCCAAAAATCATTCAACTATTGTAACACAAATTCAGGTAAATTAACCTATTATTGGATAGTAAGTTGATAAATAATTTCAAGCCATGTCTAGTCATGGTTTAACTACACCTGAAAAACTACCGGCATGATCGTGTAAATTAGTATTTTGACAATTCAGTCGTCTACTTCTATCATGTATTCATACAATATACGGTATACTGTAGATGATGTCATTGAATTAGTGGTAAACAAGTGAATTTCAAGAGTTACTGTCAATCTGGCCATATCGATCGCCATGACTGATATCATCACATAAAATTGCTGCTTATTAAACAATTCATTCATCGATGCACCTAAAAATACTGATCTGATTGCATAAAGTAGCATTCAGATAATTCAATCGTCTGTTTTTATCATGTATTCATACGGTATACGCGTAGATGATATCATTTGATTAGTGGTAAACAAGTAAATTTCAATCTCAGGCTATACCAAACGCTATGACTGATATCATCACATAAAATTACTGCTTAGACAATTCCTTCATCTACACACTCATATCCTGTATTGTCACGGTATTTAATTATTTAAACTGAAAACAGTTCTTAGTCACCATTCTAGACAAATAGACCATTTCAAGCGAACGACATTTTAGAAAATTTTATTTACAGCATATGTGAGGCAGTACTTCACTGTTGGCGAAATTGATTCTACCAATAATTATCAAATACTAGTAAATTGCATTATTATTACACCTTCTGATTTTAGTACCAACAGTAAATATCTTAACTATATCACAGGATGATCTCAATACTGCAGTATTTCATTACAGTAGTGGGGAGATTAATCCTACCTATAATTATCTTACATTACATTATTTTTTTGTATGTTTTCGTTACAGATTGTAAACAATTTAGTTACATCACCGAATGATGTCAATACTCACAGTGTTTACCGCAAGGTTGTATTCTGATAAAAAAAACGTCACAACTAGATTGTAACTTTCGTTTTCTACCATATTAGAGTCTTTGTCGTCGATACATCTATGTGACGAATCTACGCAAAGAAGTCAGGTAAGGTCAATATATATCACAAAATTCTTTCAAAAATGGCAATTCTAGCTAGTTGGTATTAAAGTTGATATTATTAATTTTGGTAATTTGATGCCAATCATTACTACATGATAGGCTAGAAAATAATCTATGCTACTGTATGTTTATCTATACGTATGGAAAGTATTTGTATGGGCTATCCACACTGGCAGTAACATACTGTAAGCATGCGTTCGTATAGAAAATACATTACCAGTTTACTTGATAGCTGTTGAGTTCTTGTATGTTAACTATCATAAATTGGTTTCAATCTATCCTTGGCAATTCTTTAGTGGCACATTTATCTTACATGCGATTAGAGTTTCATCCAGATTATTCGCAAAATTGGGTATCTGTAGTAAAGAACTTAATTCATTAATTAAAAATTTTATACGTTACGTATGTACCTATGTGCGTGATTTATACAAATTTAAGTGGAGATTATAGGTTTCGCCAGTAAATTAGTTTATGGCTCTCTTGCTGTTTGAAGGGTCACAGGAAACTGCATTTAACAGTTATATCGTATGAATGTTATCATACTGCATAGTCAGTATTCTTGTCAGTACTAAAGTACAGTACCACTATTAACTGCACTCATAATTTGCTAAAATCACCGGCTATACTTATAGAAATGCGTAATTTGTTACGTATAGATCCTCAATTGATGAATTTATTCAGAAAGAGACACAACCAACAGGTATAAATATAAATGGATTTAAATGAATTAATAGCAAAACATCATTGTCGCTATGCTAAATATACAGTATGCAGATAAAGTTATGGTAGTTTTAGTCATTTATTTGTACAAATCTGTATCAACTACAGTTTATTAAATGTATCGACATTTGCTTAATGTAGTTTACAGTGTTAAAACGCTAACAATATTTTGTGAAATTCATGAATTAGCTATAGAAATTTTTAATAAAATGCGATGGCTGCTGTTCATTTTTCAAGATGATGTCGATAGTAAGGTATGGCTTAGCGTTAATATTAAATTAGATCAACTCAAGATTAAAAACTAATGCACTATCAAATATCATAGTGTCATAATTATAATACAATGATAGTAAATATTAAAAAATATTTTATTCTAATGCGGTGTCATAATTTGTAAATACATGTAAGAAAATGGAATTGCGCAATATTATCGTCGCCTTTGTCTCTTATGAAAGTTCCCTTAACTAGTTATTAAATTGATAGCATCTGACTTCTTACTGCTATAGAGATTGGAAATGTTGTGTCACCGAATTCTATCCAATATGACAGTAAGCGATTCTCCAAAATTATGGTACGTCACCTTAGCAATATCTAATCAGTACCTACCGTTGTGGCTTTATCAAGCTAAGAAGTTACTTCAAGTATGTAGTGAGCAACTAGCTAATATGAAGGTAAGTCGCAGATACTTTGATTCACTAGTCGTGGCTTGCGATATTTGCACAATGTACTCATAAGTATTAAATTATTTATAAATTTACTTACATTCACAAAACAGATAAATAAAAAGAATGAATTAGAGGCTATGCAGTTATACCTCACTGTGGTAAGGTTATCCATATTTAGGCTATTAGACTTCTAAATTAGAATTTAAAAACTACAATCTCTTTGGTCACTAATCTTTGTATTTCCATGGTCTATTTAATCTTTTTCTAAGCTTGTCACATTCAGTAGTACTAAGAGCTGGAAGTTGATGAGCTCAAAGGGTTAGTTTATTGAAATATTCTGTAATGGATTTATCATTTATTAGATAACTATAAAATAAAACTAAATATGAAAATTTTTAGTCCAAAATTCTTTGGCTTACGTAGAAGTTTCGTCGAAATTACTAAAATTATAATATGATGCAAACTTGTTTTTAGCTTTAGCAAATAAGAATTTTCGTCCAATTCTCGATCAGATATGTAAGCAAGTCCTGCTTCACCTCGTTAACAATAATTTCTTTGCAAACATGAAGGTATAGGATATACATCATCAACAATAATAATTACTATACTAATCTAACTTTATTGTACATTTCAATAAAATAATATTTATGTAACTTTAATCTCGACTTGGCGTAATGTGTTAGAACTTCTTGTGGAATTGTACAAGGAGTGGAGAATTAAAGCTATCGAAAGTCACTCTCTCGGGTGTTATAGTTCTAATACAAAGGTTACAATTACTTTTAATATTTTTCCTGGCTGATATAAGCGAAAAAGAACTTTTAAACCTGTAATTATTCATCACTATTAGTTTTAACTTTTTAATTTTCTATTTTAGAACTTTCAGTGCAAGCTCAAATAACTTAAAATTACTTAAGCAGTTTATGGAATCAATTATGGCTTTTCCTGCATTATTATATCATGTTAAGAAGTTATCCCCCGAGGCAAGCTTAGTTTGAAATAACTAAAAGTTATCACAGTATGATAAAATTGATTTGTTTAAATTATCACTGTTGCCTAATCGACGATTTCCTCTTTGTGTAAAGTCCTTAGCTGAATTCCGTCAAAGTCACGTTTTGGAAGTTGTGCTGGAAACCTATGCAGACGGAAGTAATCTATCTAATTTAACCACAAAACTTGGCGGATACTATACCTTTTCTTTATTAGGTAATATTTAACTTAATTAATAATAACGACACCGGCCATTTGCTGTTATTATGCAAATGGCCGGTATCAATGTTATTTTAGCAATTAGCTTAATTCATGCTAAACATAAATCATCCTATTTAAGTTGGTAACTACTAAAAATCGATTATGATAACCTCTTTTTATTTTGGCACTTTTATAGGCAACCTGATACAACTGTCTCATTATGCTGATAAAGTCAGTAATTTAGAAAATAACGTTCGCAGAAATAAAGTCGGCTCTAATTTTCTTTTGATTAGTATAACATTACTCCTGTAAACTCATTCTAACTTATATCTTTTACGAAATAGCCTTGGATTAATAAACTATCTATTTTCAAGGTAAGAATATAAAACAAATTAATGCCTACACCAGTCTGCCTACTCTATACTTTAGTCAAGATAGTAGTTATCAGTGATAGTTTATCGTCCGTGAGAATATTCTTAAATACTCAATTATAATCTTTAACACATTAGAGCATCATTATGTACCTGCTGAATTATTGTCATGACCAAAACTCGGTTAAAAATTCAAATGCTACTGTTCATCATCCCCTTTTTGGTTGGTGTTCGGAGGCTTTAGCAACAGAGTAAGGTTACAAGTTACTGGTGGTAATGGATTCAGTTATTTCAGTACACTTCAATAGAAATAAATGTGTCTTTGTATTACTGAGACCCTCAAATACCTTAGATTGTAAAATATCTGCTAGTATTTATAACTTCAATCTTCCATTGCTTAGTTTGCAGGATTCAGTCCCATTAATTGGCAAGCAATTTCAGTACCTCTGGATGCCTAGTGCTGTTCAATTATTTTTTACAGACATTTTCGAAAAAAGTGATGAAACACCTAATGAAGCAGCTGCATCGGTAAAGACCGGAGACAGCGTTAAGAAAAAGAAAGGTATAAAGAATAAGTTCACTAAACTTTTAACCATGTCCTCTAAGAGCCAACATTCTTCCTCGTGATACAACAAATATCTATTATAACGTATACACAATACTTTGTATAGGACTTTTTGGAAGAGTTTTCAGTAAAAGCCAAATTAAGGGGTTCATACTTTCATCCACAAAAGTGAAGACTAATAGTGACTTGATAAAGCGAATTTGTAGTACCTGTGCAATGTATAATACTGCTATAAGTACACTGCCAGAAATGCGCACGGACGTTCTAACTGGTAATTAGCGTTCATTACGATTGCTATCATAGGAATGTGCTATTGTGAAATTGTTAAGGTTAGAAATTAAACCTAATTCGGTTTAAAATGCTGCAGGTATTAGCTACTATTATGGATTGTTAGAGCCACTATGGAAGTTTATTCATACGCTATACATGGAAGAAGGACCCAAAATTTTTCATGAGAATAGCCCAAACTTAAGCGATACGATATCGCTAACGACTCTGTTCTGTAATTGCTGTTGTCATTTGATAACGTAGGTTGAAATCGGTTATGCATTTAATTTTAGTATAGAAATGATGAAATCAGCTAAATGTAACATAGAAACTTTTGATTAATATTAGTATTGTTGATGATATTGAACTGTATCAAGAAAATAAACCATTTACCCTTGATGAATTAATAAAAATGGTGACATTACTAAATCATATGGTTTTTTATGCTATATGGAAGCTTGATGGTACGTATAATTTTCCAAATGACGGCATAGTTAAAATTATAACACTCTATCATAGTAATCTTACCAACTTATATGATAACGATATAATTTAACAACTTTTGTTAAAATTTTTTATTAAAGTCTTCAGCTCGTCCAAGACTACAGGAGCTAAGTATCCGTATGAATACAGGCAAATGATTAATGCTGGTCATATGCTGTTAATGGTATTATATGATAGGGACTGTCGCCGATCTTTCACTCCTGAGAATCACTGGATCATCAAGTACAGTATACAATTCTATATTCGTTACATAAGCGTAGATATCTTGTCTTATTAAATAAATGCTAATATGAGTAAACGTTTTGCAGGGAATTAAATTTTAATGAATTTATTTCCGCTCTCAACGAAGGCACTAATCGTTCTCATGTATTGTTACGCAAAATTGCTCACGTAATTCCACGCGAAAAGGTTTTCTTACAAGGCTGAGAAATATAATTTTTCAGAATATTTAGTTGCAATTGTTTATAAAATTTCTTTTCATTACTATGACATTATTTTATTCTACTAGCGAGTTGATTTATTTCGAAAACTTGTTGCGGACGACAAGAAATCACTTGGGATTTTCGCTGATACTTTAGCTATTAGACCAAATTACACATATATTAATATCAATCGTAGTAGACTTCTCGAGGTATGTTACGCTAGATATCAATTGGACTCTTAGCTCATCCATTGAAATAGCGTTATTTCCTTCAATTAGGATGGATACGAACAATTGACACAGCTACCTCCAGAAGCAATTAAACGTACAATTAAAGTACAGTTTGTTAATGAACAGGTAATCTAATTATAAAACGATATTGAACACTTAGCCATGGATATCTGATGGTGAAATTGCTGTTAGGGTTTAACTGAAGCTGGAATTGACGAATCGGGGGTTTTTAAAGAATTTTTAGAAGAAACTATTAAAAAAGCGTTTGATCCAGCATTAAATTTGTTTAAGGTCACTTATCAGTTCACGAATGTTAACTAGAAATATTTCTAGAATTAGTAGTTTTTGATCGTGTCGGCTTCTTATAATCATTTAGGTTACTTGTGGAGACGAACCACGACTATATCCATCTCCTACCTCTTATATTCATGGTAATCACCTACCGTTATTTGAATTTGTTGGACGTATGTTAGGGAAAGCGGTGTATGAGGTATCTGTCATCCACTTTAAAACTTGTTGCTAATAGTATGGTCATATAACGATGTACTCGTACATGTTAATTATTTTCAGATCCATATTTACCTATGCTGACTTAGTTGCTTCTGATTTGTATAACCTGATATTATAATATCAATTAGGGCCTAGTAGTAGAAGTTCCTTTGGCTTTGTTCTTCTTAAATAATGTATTAGGAGGGCAGCATAGCATTTTGTATAGCTGTATCGATGAGCTGCCCTCTCTCGATCCTGAATTATACAAGAATTTAAACTATGTTAAAGTAAGGGAGACTTTGAGCTAATAACGGTCGGTATAGTAGCAATCTGATTAACGTTGTACTTGACTAGAATTATGAAGACGATGTTGAAGATTTAGCCTTGACATTTTCATTTGACGAAGACGTGTTAGGAAAGGTAATGGGAAATTAACTAATCATGTTGATCGACGCTTACAATTATGACTGATCGCGAGTTTATAATATACATACTCTTTATTTGTCTATCGTTGATTGATTCATATAATAGATTATTACGCACGATCTAAAATACGGTGGAAGTACCATTCCTGTTACGAATGAGAATAAGTAATTTGAAAGAAATAAAATTGAAATTATTTACTTTTAGGCTTCGGCATTAATAAATAAAATAGATATTGATGGTGCTACTTTTTTCGCTATTTCGGCATATTCCTGCAGATTAAGTTATATTCATTTAATGGCTCATTTTCGACTACGCAAGCAATTAAAGAAGCAAACGGCAGCTTTTATTAGGGGTTTTCATTCAGTTATTAAACCAGAATGGCTTCAGGTTTTTTCCGGTCCGGAACTGCAGCTGTTAATTGCTGGAGAAAATACAACCATTAGCATTTTAGATCTTAAGTATGCAATAATTAGAAAATTAGTTTCAGAGATTTAGATTGATTTTGACTATCTTCGAACTAAAATATACATTATTAATAAGAAAATACACAAAATACCTTGGAGGATATCACAGTAAACATCGCGTTATTCAGTGGCTATGGGATATATTAAAAAATGATTTTGGAGAAGAGGATCGATGTAAATTTCTCAAAGTAAGACAACTATTAAAGAATTTAATGCAATGATTTGCTAAAGTAAGAAATATTGATATATATGTATTTGTTATAATAAATAAATTGTAATTACTTTTGCACAGTTTGTTACTAGTTGTTCCAAGCCACCCTTGCAAGGTTTTTCGAATCTACAACCACCTTTTACTATACGATACGTAGAGGCTGAAAATGAGGAAGTAAGGTTTACTCATAGATGTATATCTTGTAATAATAACATAAAAGTGTAAAGTTCTTAAAGCCCGATTCTGATAAACTATAATTGTATTGTTGACTCTGATAACGATGAAATAATAGCGCTCATTATCTGATAAATTCGATTCAGGACCGAGAGTCTATTAGCCGAGTCTTATTTAGAGCGTTAAGCATTCCTAACAGAAAAAGTCAATCGACATCAAGATTACCGACGTCTTCAACATGTTTTAATCTATTAAAATTACCTAATTATCACTCTAAGCACGTATTAAGAGAGAAATTACGTTATGCTATTCAATCAAATTCTGGCTTCGAGCTATCATAATTGTATGTAAAATAATTTAAAATATTTTACTAAGATTGGTACAATAGACTGATGTATTTAACAAAGGATACCTGAAATATTGAATTTAAAAATTTTATCACTAATTTCACTAGCTGTATTTGCCGCAAAACGATCTTACTTCACAGCTAGGTAGTTATTAAGTAAATAATTTTAAGAAAATTTAATATTTGATTTCATTTTTAATATGAGATTAAAATATGTTCGATCGTATCAGGATTAATCATATTTATTATTATAGCACACTTTATGTATGTAAATACTTATTTGCGTGCTTTTCCTTGATTCGTAAATACTTTAAATCAATAAACCAATTTTATAAGTATGCTGCAAATTGCAGTACTGTTCTGTTAAGTGTGTAATATGAATACATCCAGTTAATTATAATCACTATAAATGAAAAATTTTTGATAGCTGCAATTCCTGCATCCTGATGCAGTTAGGCAAATTGTTCATGAATGGAGTAAATAGAAGGCCTGGTAAAATAAAATTTACTAGTTATATGTATATGTTAGTAGCAACAGAACTATCAAGTTAGCATTCTATTTGTTCTCATCAGGAATCCTTTCGAGAAATTTAGTCCATAACTGACTATCACTAAATTGTTAATTGTTTTGCTTTACCAGCTGAATAACGATCATCTGTTGTAACTTAGTAACGCATGAAATTTTATGGTTTGTAACAGCTGCAGATATTGTATGAGTATTTGACGGCAGGACTTACCTTGAGATGATTCGTTAATAACATCTTAGAGAAAGATTTCATTGATTATAATTATATTATATAAATGGTCGATGATATAATAGCATTAATTACACGTTGTAAAATAAGTCATTTTATTTATCCATATAAATAAAACGCAGATAGAACGTAAAAACTAGTTAACATTGTAACAAGTGTCAACTTAGTTTTACGCGTACATATAGCACATAGGACTAATTCTCTTTTAAGAGAAATCAAAGCTATTCCTGCTATATCGCTACTTATCAATTTGCTATCCTTGTGCAAATACTGGCTTGATAATGACAAGAAGTTGTTTTCGATTTTGCAATATTCTCCAAATGATAAATTATAGAACAGATCTAAAGAAATACATTGCAAGATTCGCTGTGATGTCTTTGTCATTATGAAATACCTAAGCTGATTTAATAGTAATTAAAATCATTGGTAAAGATATTTTATTCATTAACCTAATTTGAAGTTTTCTTATCTCTTACTATACTATCAATTATACATAGGCTTACAAATTTTTAATTAACCGATTAACCTGAATTACTTTATCATTGTATATGATTCTAGTTTTTGATTTACTGCAGCCATATAATTCAAAATGTCGCATGTAATAATTTAACGTAGAGATTATTCGTACTAAAGAATGTAGCAGCGATTACGTAATATTCTTAACTACAAATGCAGATAATAGGAGAGTTAAATAATGGTACAGTTGAAGCCATTTCTTTTATTTTGATTTTTAGTACTTAATTATAAATTACAACATACCCAGAAATTAGAATAAGAAGAGTGACGAAGAATCGGTAATTACAAATAAAGTCATCAGATAATTAAATTTTAGATAGACTATAGAAATTTCTGTTGAATCGGGGAGTAGTTCACCGGTAGTAATTAATTTCATACAATAATTTATTCCTTATTGCTCAAAAATTTACATTAAACTTTAGGATAGTCGACGAATGGTCATAAGTAGAGCGAATTAAATTAGAATTTAAGGGTTAAGATTTTAATATTATTCATATAACTTCATGCTATTGGAATTTTATAATATACCTTAAAATTATAATTATTATAAGAAGAACTTTGCTATAATTTATCTCGTCGTCTACATTTTGCTCTTTCGCTATCTTCTATGAGAAAATCAGAAATGAGGAGGAAAGGGAAATAATAAATAGGACATAAATCTTTTCCTATGCCTTAACTAACTACAGTACATCATCTTGTGCTCTTTAATTAGCCTAATACCGTAATATGATATCGATTGATAGAACTAGGAAGGTCATAATTATTTAATTCTAGCGCAAAGTCAAGGCAAAAATTTATATTTTTAACTTCAAATCTGAGCAATACTGATTCAAGAAAGTAAAAAGAGAACAATTAAAAAATATAGATGTTATTTATGACCACTGTAATTTGATTATAAAATCTCCATTGCTATTTAGTGAGGATCATAAAATGCTATATAGAAATAACATATGCTATTACATAATATTTCTAGTAAATCAAAATTATGGTAACTATTTAATAAAATTAATGTAATCATTGATAAACTCATAAATATTCAGTCTATATGATTGAATTTTGCGGAAGTGATATTAGTATCCATATAAAAGATGTTAATCAGCTTATGTTTTGCAGTTATAAAGTATAGTCGCACAACGGTATGTTAATTGTTATTACCGGTTTATTTCTTCAGCGAGCTTAGTTAGTTGCTATAATTTAAATTAGTCGGAAACAATTCTATAATATCTTCGGTTTTACGAGTTATTACAAGATCAAGCTATTTTTCAAGGTAGAAATTCCCTTATTAGCAGCTATGAAGATGGTTCAACAGTTTGTACTATTCTATCCGCTAGAAATATATTGGACGTGGTAAGCCTATGCCTTAAAATAATACGAGTGTATGTGATAGTTTTTAATCGTAGCTATAATGCTATTAATATTCAATACTAACATATAACACTAACAAAATGAGTAGATTACGATAATGATGAATACATCAATCATTAGAAAGTTTCTATTTCATTTATATGCGTTTTAGTATTGCTACTAATAATCTGATATCACTAAGTAAGAAGGCCATTCGATGATTTATACAAAATGCTAATAATAGATCGAGTACCGTATAGGGACCTGTTAAGAACATCTAAAAAAGCATGAATCAATTATTCAGAGTCTGTTTAGATTGCCCTGAGTGAAAAGATATTTCTAGATAATGCGACGCTAACAAACCAAAAGAAAACGCAAAATCTGTAACATGCTTCCGTCATTAACATTTCATCGTTCGATAATGGTTATACTTAAATACTATCATGGTATATAATCACTCAGACCTGATGCAAAACTTATTACATCTTCATTATCTTACTATATATAGGCTGATGTATATGGTTCTAATTAAATCCGATACTATAGCGATGGCATGATCTATATGAAATTTATAGAAATAGATAATTCTTAACCTGTAGGCCGTAGATATTTCGCGTAGACTCGCTTGTATTCAACGATCAATAACCGTAAATTTTACCCTGTAAATACTACGGCACCGACCTCTATATGGCATGTTAAAGATTCGTATCGGACATAGTGCTATGTCAACTTTATGATGTAATTACTGACTATGATTTCTTCTATTATAATTATCCAAATAGGAATCGAATCTGTTATAGATGGGTCGAAGTCATTACAAACATACAAGTATTTCTATAGTACTACGAGCTGTAAGTAAAGTATTAATAGCTCTCATCATCCGTGTAAATCACTATCAGTTATTCGAACTAGCTTTTTCTCCTCTTTCTCCAATCTATACAGCCACACACTCTAGTCTTACCGTACTGCAACATTCTATAAATAATTCTGTATTGTATTGCGTAAGCAACTGCGAATGTGAAGAATTAATAAAATGCCCAATCTTCGATATCTAAATCTCTCAACTGAACTGCGCCTATTAATCGTATATTAACTAACCTTATAATAAATCTAGTAATGGAATCACATATACAGTATTATAGATATTAGCGTTGCGGTTGAAGATGTGGCTCGAGCTATTACTAGAATTATCTTAATATTAGTCTAATCGCATATATTAGGATTAGCTTGATACGGTATGCAGCGTGTTTGTATAGGCTATTGAAACAGTAAAATATAAATTAAATTTAGCTTCCATCATCGATCGGTACATTTGACACTTCCCCTTAATGTTCAATTAATTATTAAACTCTTGATCATCTGAAGTTGTGACGATAAAATAAATGTTTAATAACAATTGAATTATAATTCAAAGAATATATTGATAAATTAATTACATGTTGTCATCATCATCACTATGCCAGCTATCCTGATAAATTAGTTTACTTTACAATCTTTTGTTATAGTAATCAGAATAGAAATTGTTAAGGATAAATTTTTTAAGATCACATTGGAATAAATTAATAATAATATCAATCAATGATCTTCATCTTATTCGATATGTCACTCTATAACGTAATAGCAACAATTTGGAGGGATTTTATTACGACATCGTAACTGAAACAGAAGGGAAAACCATTAATTATCTTAGGAATGACAATGAAGTAAATTACAATAACATTGATTAAATATAGGAAATAAAGAATGGAACTTCTCTATTAAATGGGAGTAAGACATAGTTCTATAAAAGTAGGTGTCATCGTGATGTAGTAGAATCATTAATTTATCATTTCTTAATTATTTCTAAGTTAGAGTCAATTAAAAGACGCGAATCCAATGATGATAATTAGGTTAATTATCGTGGCAGAAACATCCCTTGTTTAATGTATGACGAATGATTTGATTGAAATTCTATTATCAATTTTAGAACAAAAAAGTAATTATCAAATTGAAGCAAGTTTTATAAGTGAAATAGATAATTTAACGCTATTAAATAGAATAATCGTTCTAGCTAACGAAATATTAGTCTTTTTTAGTAATCATTAATAAGACGAAAAAACGTTATGTACATGAAATTGAATAGGAGCGAAGATTAAATTGATTAAATCTTGATTGATTGATTGATTGATTGATTGACTGATTGAACTAAGATAAATGAATACATTACCTATTATCTATTCATAATTTATAATTCATCCATTTGAATGGCTAAGTAAGTCGGGATAGTAATCACCATCATTTTATAATATTAAGAACGATATGAAAGAAAACAGATCAAGCTAATAAAGAGAATGTTTTAAAAGCTTATAGGTTTATAATTCTACCCTACCAACATTAAATTA